GTATTCGTAAGACCGCTTCCTCTCATCAGTTCCTTCACGTCGACCCCTGCAGCACGTTCATTTCCACTGCTGTCAGTATTTCGAACACCTGCTCAATTCTTCAACTTTCCTGTCATCAGCCACCATCATAAGCTTCATCATCTTCACACAGCTTTCTTTAGCTCATCCTCTTTCTTCATATCGACCCCTGCAGCACGCTCATTTCCACTGCTGCCAGTATTTCGAACACCTGCTCTATTCTTCGACTTCTTCCTCTTCTCCATACGGTTGACTTTCAATTCATCAACTTCGGGTTCGGCGGCTTGTGCCAGTCTACCAGCTTCACAATTTGAGAATTATCAAATCCCCACGTTTTGGGCGCCATTTGTAGCAAGGGAATGAAGGGGAGGAAAAGTACAGAAATAAAAAAAGCTGCATCTTGAGGTTCATCAAACAGCGCGGTCCACTGCTGTTCGGCGGTGTAGCAGAAAAGAGATTCGCTGCTGGAAGGAACTCGATAGTAGAGCTGGTAGAACAGGGGAGCTTGAGAGTCGTTGAAGAGATCCCGAGATAGATCTAGTGAGAGATCCAGATAGTGATGAGATCCTGAGATAGATGAGATCCACCGGATAGAGATGTAAGTATCCACCTTGCGTACAAATACATCTGATGGAAGATGCTTTTTAAATTGGAGGCTTGATGATTCTGTTCATTGTATAGACCATGATGCACGAGATGCTTCTTCACTGCTCGGATTAGGGATAGAGGGATCCGATCAGCTGGGTTTGCAGCACAGTTGGGCAGGTGAAGGACAGGGCATTCGAAGTCCCGATGACCACTGCCAAACATATGGGTGGTAATTACATTGATTAATTGAATGTGATCATTCGTCCAGTCACCCATTCCTATATCACTGGCCTCCCCATTACAAAAATTGCCCGCTTAGTTCGTATTAGCGTTGCTAGTTTAGTTGCCCTCGAGAATCATTTGTTCGACTGCCATAACCGAATTCTACCAAATTCCTATCGGCCTTACTCTAAGATTCATGCGTCATCATTCTCACATCCTTGCTCGCATTACGTTCACATTTCATGTATTCACCCAAATTTAATTGGTAGCCCCCGAAATTCCCTCCGATAGTGTTAGGCGTCTTACAAACCATGGTCTCCCCGGCGAGATAAATGTCTCTTTCCGAAATCCATATGCATGCTCCGCTAACCGGCGACAAAGATACTTATCGCAGGGCCGTCCAGAATAATTATACACAAATATCCACCCTACTAATTTATGGGATTCACTACACGTCCGATAGACTTATGGTACACACATACACGATTTATATCCGACTTATCTCTCTACCGGGAGAGATTACCTATGCCCTCTTCCGGTCCGCGTGTAACATTCCCGTTCACGACCCAGGGACCACCGTTCATATCCTGGAACTCTCCTCAGGAACTCTCCTTAAACCATGGGATTTACTCTTCAAGGCCTTACGTGTCCTGGAGTACATTCTTCCCTCCCCTGAGGCTGTCCAGTACCGATTAAGGTACCTTTACAAAATAAGTATGAGGACTTATTCGGGACACTACGGCGCGCCTTATCCGCACTTTTGGGTGACTCACCCCTGACCCTCGGCTTCTTGCCTTTGGCATAACTTACTCTCCACTGCACACTGTGCCAATCTTCCCCTTCCCCCTGCCGTAGAAACCTCTCACTGCCTTCTCACCCAGTGTTACCTAAGCGGGAAAATTAACAGTGGCCGGTACCACTGGCGGAAAACGTGCATATGCCCTGCGTACGTGACGGCGTGTCCCTCTTATTATTCCGGTCTGGACGTGGGTTTAGAGAAGTGCATCTGTGTCTCATACGGTCATGCTGGTAAACGCTACGCCATAGGAGACGGGCAAACAAGCCGTCTGTGCCTCACAATGCCCTGTGCCAATATTGGTGGAGTAATTATTGGCGCTAACTCTCAAGAACGCGAATAACAGAAACGCATCTAATCGTAATCTCAAGTCCTAATTGCTGCTGCACGCGTGAACCTAATCATCAGTTCTCGTAAACAATCCTAGCAGACCTTGAACCGCTCTTGATTTCATCAGATAATCTAGAACCAATTAGTACGCACCGATCTGTCGTCTGGTTGTGATCCACCGTATCATAGTGAATTGCTGAATGCTCAAACGGAAATGACTCCTTGAAACTCGTTCGATAGCTTCTGATGGGCTACTAGTTACCTAAACAAATTATCTTTATAGAGTGCCAGAATATTGTCATAGGGTCCCTAGCCTTTCATAGGGAATCTATTTTAAATCATCCTATTAGCAGTAAACAATGCGCATCAAACGAAGTGCAGTCCTAAATATCAAATAGCATGTCATATTTAAAATTATGCATTAACTGTTTACGTTCTTACCCCGTTGCAACTTTCCACAACTAACCATGCTCCTATATACAATGACCTTCACCTACCGCCCGCGCCCCAATTACGGCTAACCCACTGCCCCTGTTGTGGCTGCTTTTTACGCCCTCTGGCGGCTCAACGCCCGCGTCGAGAGCGACGATACTGGCCGCCGGCTGGCGTCGCGTCGACAGTCAGTCAAGGCCACGCCGCGATGGGCGCGTCATCACTCGCGGTGCAATGCTCGTGCGTGTTGTCTCTTCTGGCCGGGTGGATTCACCGGATGTGTCAGTGAGTGTGAATCTGGTAAAATATCGCTGCAATATCTCCCTGTTCGACATCTCATCAGCTCCATTCAACGTAAGTTTTTTTTAAATTAAATTCCTGTCCCATTTAATCGTTCCCCAACAAAGGTGGTCCTTTCTAGTATTTATTCTACAAAAGCACAACGATCGGCACCTATATTAGTCGCATATTAGTTCTAACCACAAACAATTCTACATCTACCTGTTACTCGACATTTCGCAATTTCAATGACGCAAAGTGACCATCTAAAGTCGCTAAGTGTCAAACCGTCAACCTCAAACCACTGCTCGCAACTCTGCACCTAAGTAACAGAAGAAATTCCGCCGTAAGCTCAAGCATTCGTATCTGTCGGAAATCATAACTCATAGCCATATTCATAGATCGATCGCATGAATCAGTCGCCACCTTAAAACATTACATTCCCTTTCAACCGTATTTACCTGTTCTATAATTGATTTCGACTTCGCAATTAATTCCTACAGCAATATTACCAATGATTTCGCAATGCAACTTTTAGTGAGTACAGCACGAATCTAAACCCTTAATTTCACAAACGTTCCAACCTCAAAACGCACCTGGCCATCGCCCATAATAAATCGAACGAACCAGCTTGACCGAAGACAAAGACATTTCAACGCTGTCACACATCCAGTCATCAATCTCAACGTTCGTGACCATGAGCTGCTTATTCAAATTTTAGCCTCTCGCTCTGGGCCTAATCGTGAACTCCAACTGACAATAACGGTTTGCTGGCGACTCTGACATGACTTCGAAATTCAGATCCTAATATGCTACTAGGGTGTCTGGACCAATAAGCTCAAAGTAATTTAAGTTTTCCAATTCCAATTGAGAGTGCATTTTATGGCAACCGAAAATGTTTGGCAGTCGTCACGGCACGGCAACCGGGCAGAGGGGGGGGGGGTCAAGGATTGGGATTGAGCAGACTTTTCAACAACACTCACATTCTGGAGTTTCTCTGCGCTTCCGCTTCTCAGTGTGGTCACAAGCGTCGGCTACTGTCCTCGGTTCTGATCACTCGAACTGAAGAGGCTTCTCGCGGGTGACCCCGGACTGACGGCGGCCTCCAGATGGCGTCTCCGGCTCCGGCTGCAGACTGTGACTCTCGGCTGCTCGACTGTGATTCTGCCTCTGGTTGGGTGGCGCACCCTTTTATAGTTGGGGGGAGGGGTGACTGCCACGCCCTTGCGACGTCATCTTCCTCTGCCTTCTTCTGGTGGGTGGGGCCGTAAGATGGCGCCCTCTGTCCTGTTTAGTCACCTTGCTCCTCTGTGCCTGCAATTTTTGGCCGTCGAATCGTCTTCGTGTTGAGTGCTTTATCATTTTAATAATCGCTGGCATAAAACAATCCCCGAAAGGTTTGTGATTTTCGAGTTTTAATTTTAATTCTTCAATTTCATTTTATTCAAACTTTTGTTTCCTTCCGTTTCGTCTGCCGGCAACGCCCCTTGTGACGTCACTCTTGCTCCGCCCACCGTCTCGGGCGTGCCGTAAGTCAGCGCCTTCTTCCTCTGCGGAGATCTCTGGAACTACCTCATGAGGCCATTGTGAGGTCGGTCACCCGGTTGTTTTGCCAGGTTCACTCACCCTGGGTTGCTGTGCCCGACAAAGGAGGCTGTGTGCTCCAGCCGGCATCCATCCTTGACACTGCTCCATGATCTGTTGACATCTTTTGCTGATGCAGCGTTATTTGAGGAGGTTCGAATCGCTCATCCTGCGGTAGCTGTCTCCATAGGCGGGCGTCGTAATGAGAGTTTAACGGTTGCCCATTGCGAAGACCTCTGGAACTACTGCGTTTTTGCTTGCCATAGGATCTTCCTGGTTGTGCCATTCCCACCATGTGACTCAGCGCGGTGCAGCTGTTGTGGTACCTGACAGAGTACGTGACAAGTGACAGAGTACCTTAACGTGCTCGCTCGCCGCCGCCGCCGGCCGCGGTCCTGACGTAGCTTGTTGACTCAGCTGTGCCTCGACGGTTCGTACTGATGTAGGCGGCATCGTCTTCTCGCAGATGTGTCTACTGCGGCTATTCCCACGGACAGTGCTCGTTGCGGGAGATGGAGAAAAGTGATGTGTGGGGGATGGTGGGCCTGGTGACTGGGGGGGGTGAATAATGAGAGGGGAGGGGAGCGCAGCAGCAGCGCTCCGCTCAGCTGTGCGTCACCCGGTAGCAGCGATGGGTGAGTGAATGGAGGGCTAGGCCTGTGACCGGACTGCGAGGGGGGGGGGGAACTGCCGTACCGAGCCGTGCCGAAAAGATACTACGTTAAATGTTCAAGATGTAGCGTGCTACAACATACCTTCCATACGATGTGTGTTTGACAGCTACGTGTACAATTGTATATTATGTATGTTACGTACATCGGACACTATGTAGACAATCGGTCTATCAAATAGTTTGCCCTTATGAGTAGCGCCTTTCCTAAAATATCACGATCTTCGGTTTTTGAAAAATGGCAGACAGATTATTCACAGGATCGTCTTTTAACATTGTTATCACGTTGGTTTGATAAAGGCCAGTGGCCGAAAGCTCACCGTTTTTTAAAATATATTATTCGGCTTTTTACATTTTTGATGTCGAGGAAAAGGTCAACTTCTTTTATTTATCTAATTATATTCGAAATGAGTTCTCATTCCATCCGCTCAATTCAAACGAATGCTCCGTCCTTCTCTAGGTTTGCTCATTCCCGGAGCTGTCCCATATGTCGCCTCAGAGTGGACAAATGACAGTGGACACTCTGGCACATTTGTCGGGTGTGCGTTCGTGCGTCTTGTCACTTGCTAATACTGCACTGTCTCCCCGCCACGGCTCATTTACTCTCCGCATATGTGAAGTCAAGCGAATAGACTGAGCGTTGGGAGCGCTGCGGTCTTCAGTGAGAGATATGCGGAGACGGCCAGGTGGTTGACGAGACGATCTGAAGCCATCAGGAAGACAAGATCTCGGGCCGGGCAGTTTCGATGTCGAGTGGATCTTACTGGAATGCGGACTGGCCGGTGCTTGTGCCCGGTGGGACCGGAATTTATGTTCTGAAGGTGACGCGTTCGACACTCTAACCGAGAACATTGATCGAGCTACCGTCGAACTTGTGTCATCGGACACTTGTTTGACCCCCTGACCTGAGGGATTTAACCTGAGAACACCACATCTACCTTGCCGCTAGAATTTCTCGTTCAGCACTCGCAGCTAATGTTGCTGTTCTTCGTTGCCATCACTACTGATGTTTTTACCGCACTGTCATAAGACCTTGTTATCGATATGGGGCTGCCGTCCGGATCTCGGCGGTATTACCACCAACGCACCTAAATACAAGCCTATTTCTGACAGACTTGTTCGCATGAAACATTCTGGAATGACGCATGTCAGGCTTGCTTGGCGCAGAGATGCCATATTTATCATTAGAGTACGTCACTACGTCAGGAAAAAAGTTGGCCAATAGCAGGTCTCCCACCGACTGTCTTTTATAGAACCGGCCTTTGATGACATTTCTCTCATTTCATCCTTGATTCTTAGCTACCTCTCTCAACCCAGAGAAGCATCATTCTCGGCGCAGAACCCACAGCCAGTGCCGCCCCACCGCCGCGCCGAAAGCTAAGGCCGCACGGAACACCGTGCGCGGTAATGCGTCTGTGGCTGGAGCATCTTCCAGAGCGTTTTCACACGCCATATACCTTGTGGCGCAGCCGGCACCGGATGCGCTAACCTATATAGAGCGACGTATAGTCTGCAGTAGCAGAATAGGGCGGGTGGGAGGCCTTGATACCGGTCAAACGGGTCAAGCGTGATGGGTCAGAAATGTAGGGAGCACCATATGTAGAAGCTATTGCTCCGGTTGTTTTTCAATAGAAAAACAAAACTTTAACGAATAGTTTTTGTCTAATGAAGAAACAACCTGCGGTTACCTACCACAGTGAGGTCCTAGACCATGGATTCTCACTGCAGAGGAGCAGCGGGAACGGATGTGCCCCTCCCCCCTGTGTTAGTGGGCGTGGCAGTCTGGGCGGCCCACGGACGGAGGGGGGGGGGGGTGGATTGCGTGACCTGACGGCGGCTGGCCGGTCGCACCGGTCGTACCGGTCGTACTGATGATATAGCATGTCGCCAACACTGCGGGTCATGGTGTGAGGTCACAGCGAGGTCAGGACAGGTTGACACTACTCAATGACACAGCGAGGTGACACATACTGTGACACACTCGTAACGAACTTCACATCAAACAGAATGGGATTCAAAGTTCGGCCGTGACTGGCTCTCAGAAATAAGGCCATCGCATGTCGCGAGGTTGCGTGTCTGAGAAAACAGCCCGACCGGATGGGCCTCGCCCTGCACTACGTCAGAAGCTGTCTGCCCTGACCCAACGGCGTCACGTGACCTGAGATATATGTAGAGCTGGCTGGAAGAGGTTCGCCTTATTCTGGGTACCTACTACATCAGACCATTTCATTATTTCCGCAAAATTTCACATAGCCAACAGCTGAATCCTATAGGTGAATGAGCGAAATTCTGTCATGCATCCATCCATCCTATCTTTTATATCTGATCCGTCATGGCTATGTGCCGCAAAGAGTCGGCACTTTATAACAACGTGCGCCGTTCCCAACATGACTGCTCGCTACTGCCTCTCAGCCTCCACACCCAGTACGATGACGCAATTGGATACCTGCTGACGTCATTGGGTTCTGATGTTGCCGCCGGTAATGGAAGGATTAATGGGAGCGTCGGGTAAAAATCACGTCACCTGGTGCCATGTGGACAGCTTCGGTACTAACTAGTCCTCTCTCCCTAATGGATGGATGAAGGGACGTGATGACACGGCGGAACGGGAGGGGGAGTCGGAGAGAAAGGGTGAGGGGGAGAGAAAGATTGTAGAGTGACCAAATGGCAGCTGTTTCACTTGTCCCTTACAGCTGTCACACGACCAGCTGCCAGGACCATAGAGATATGTCAGGACAATCCTTTATTGCTCTTTACACCAGCCTAGGTTATCATGACAGCCTCTGGCGGTTATTTTATAATGGAAACATTCGCATGATGAAAAGCTTGATCAATAAAGGTTCTTTGATACGTAGTATTTTCTTGCATATCTTTGTAATGGACTGGAGGATTGGAGAAATATGTAAATGTAGGGAAGTACCTATTGCTCTTTATTCGCAAAAGTTAAAACTGTATTGGAAATATCTCGCCAGCAAACACGCACGACGAAGAGCACTTTTCTCGCAAAAAGAAAACGTTTTCTTCGGAAATTGTTTTGTCCGTCTCACTTCAGGGATTCTGTGGCTAGAGTCGTTCAACTAGGCGTGACCCATCAGTTTTGGTGATAAATTGACACATGATGAGATGTACAGTGTTTACGAATGACGTCTCTTTTGAATAGAAAACACGCCTGGGAAACCAAGATCACTGTTATTTGGTATCCGCTGTCATGGAAAATGAATGGTCGTCGTAACCATCATTGTTATGGCGTGGTTATGGCATTCATTTTTCAACGCCTAAATCTTACGTACTCCTAATGATGTTAGCATTGATATTGTGATTACCTTATGATGTACGGAGGCATAAACGTTTATGGATACAAGAAGTTTCATGGCAAGAGATCTCAGATAGCGTTTCAGGTCAAATGCTTTTGATCTTTATCTGTTTATTTATTTAAGTAATCGTTTGGTATACATACTCCTCCGTATATTTTGCCGTGTATGAAAAGAGTCCATGTCTTTCCTCTGATCGTCTGCTTGTCTGTGTGTCCGTCTACAGGAGCTGGAGCAGGAGAAGCACACCCTCCGCCGAAAGATGACGACCATGGAGAGCGAATACGAAACCCAGATACTCCAGCTACAGTCCGACCTCGGCACGCTCAAGTAAGTCGTTTGGCGAAACGCGGTCGAGCTTTGATTCTGCCTTCGCTGTTGTAGTTCAGTACAAATATGGATGGGCCGCTGTCAATTTTAGATCGAATTATCGAGTGTAACATAGAACAAAGTGAGCAAGGTCGTACTGAGAAGCTGCTTGGGTGAAGGTGGATCTGGGCGAATCAATCAGCTGCGTGGTAAATTGGTTTTATGATTGGTTTTGTCTGACATTTCATTAGACGCGTAAGCCGAAAGATTAAATTATTCTGACGTTCCCTTCGTGATCCAGTCGATTCACCACGCCAGATTTGCTATAAAGCTGCCGATTTCGAAACTGTGTCATGTCAAGGCTTTACAAGCCAAGGGCAGCAAGCGGGCGTGGCTCGTCTAGCTCACAGCGGGAGATTTGCATACTCGTATTTGGAGTGATGGAAGCCACCGGAGATACACGCTAGTGTTTTCTATCCTCCCAATAAAAAAATGAATGCTGGACAAAATCGTGAGTCACGACTCTCAGCAACAGGTGGCTGCAGGACATGTGACCTCGCCAGATGCCCCATGCGTGACTCAGGTTGTGCAAGGTGCGGCGCGAGGCCCCAGTTGGGTGCAGGGTTTGAGGGTCTGGCTCAGGGTGAGGACGGAGGGTAGATTCGCTCAGGGAGATCTCCTGTACATATGATTGCTAATTGAGGTCACTTCTGGTTATGCCAATAGTCGATCCAATGGTCATGTCGTTGTTGTCAACTTTTCCTTCCCGTTGATACTCGACCGACGTATAATTCGACAACGCCTTATACATAATGTATAAGTGACCTTTTGTGAACCTTTCTTTGGTCGCACATCGCTGATGCAACGTCCGCGGGCTCAAAATTCCATAGATGCTGCTGCTACCCGGCAACACAGTTTGTTAACTCTCTCGCTAGGGAAATAAGAGACAGTTGAAAGGTGGAAGGACACGCTCGGTAGGCTTGAAGAATGGATGAGACAGTACCAACACAATCCACATTGCTGGAACACGATATGTCACGAACACTGACACCGACTGTCTCTGCTTCCGCAGATCGCCTTCGTGACATCAGCAAGGCAATTGACACTTGAAAAATGAACCCGTTTAGAGGGCGCCAAGCGTTAATGGCTCTCCAATCGACCCTAAAGTGTCCAATAACGGTGTGAAGGGTGGGGCCAAACGGCCGGCGTGGCTCTGCGGTTCTAATCTCAGGCGTGGGAGATGGCCTCAGGCACGATCCGTGCCAGGCACGACGTGGCAATCGGCCGCTCGTGACCAGAGTTGAGAGAAGGCGGGATTGTTATCTGTTCTGGAGTTGGAGTCTTGGCGCTAAAACGGTGTATTTTTACGGCGGCAGCATCAACAACGTTGCATTTTAACTAGCACCGACGTTGTAGCTCACTGTGAAGGCTTCAAATGACAAGTCCGTCATTTTTCGATTGTGTGCATGAAACTGACCTTACGTTTATTGACGGCATTAACAAATAAGGAATATACGACATACTTAACGGAAAATATGCCACTGTCGCCGCGAATTTGCATCATCTTTTGTGCGCGGCCCTCACAATAATCGGCACCTCTATAACCCACATTTTCCTAGCAAGGTTGCCTTGTTCCGCTATCCTCGCTCCTTTCCGTCTGCAGAAAGCTTCACGTCATCGGTCAGAGGCCGTTTTGCTGACGAGCTTGCAGCTCCAGATCCCCTGACCCGACTCGGACCGCGGGTAGGTGGGTCACGCCACCGTGACTACCGTCTCCCGAGCAATGACAGGCTCTGTTACGGGCCGTCGCAAACTCTGCCGGGCCGTCACACCAGTCAACTCGGACAGAGGGCGGGCGTGGTGACCTAACTGCATCCTGGGGCGGGTGTAAATGTCAGAAAAACAAAGGGAACAAAAACTTCTCGACCGCCACTGGACGGGAGACATCCGGTGTTAGGGTGAGCGCTGTCCCTTTGCTAGAGGGAGGGAGCGTCGAAGAGAATGTCGTACTCTTTGACAGCAGGTAGGTTGCAGATGGATGCTCGAAATTTTGGGTCTTTAAATGTTCTGTCTGTTTTGGGTCTGTAGTGTAGGCGATGAGACAGCGCATCACGAGCTGGACGGGAGACGGGCGAGAGGAAAGAGCGCGGATTCTGGGCACGTGCCGACGATACAACTCCGGGGCGGGGCGGGATGGGGCGAGGAGAACGTGGGGCGTTTGCGAAACTGAGTCTCGAATCGCTCTTCGCATACGGACGGAGTGGGCTCCAATGCAGGTTACGAAAAGGTTGGCCAGACATCCAGCCTTTGAGGGTTTCCTGTGTCTCGCAGCAGACAAGCGGGGATTTCTGTGACCTTCGAGAATCCCGAACGGAAGCCAGACAAAGACCCTCTGAGACAGACTGGGCGGGTGTTCCACGTCGGTGACTCGGCTAACCGGTGGTTTTGCCGCCACGACGGGCCAGCGGGTCATTTTGCAGCGCTTGGTGGCGCTTTGTGTCTTAGCTGAGCCGATTGGATGTCAGGGAAATACTGAGTACGTAAAGACCGCTGTGAGTTTGGAAAAATATCGTTTTCCCTCGTGATTATACCTATGTAGACGCATAACCTTATAGTGGATTGTCGGCAGCTTGATATCACATTATCGGTATTGGCAGCTTGATATCACATCATAAGCTTCTCTTTAGCACGGCACCGTTCGATTCACTTTAACACGACTTCGCATATCCCAATATTAGCCTGACAACACGGCATGATAACAATGCACTGGCAGCAAAGCGGGGTATAACAGTCAACATTGCAGTCAAAATAGGATAAACTGTCAATGCTTCAAGCCCACAGCCTATAACGGAACAACACGAGTCACAAATAGCTCTCTCCCTTCCCCCTCTGTGCCTGTCGACATATGTCGCTTAGAATCGATCGGTTCGCACCCCTCGGTACAGATGTGTTGGACTGGGAGACCTCTCACAGGTGTGCAGGCGGAATTGGAGGGGTGCCGGCCTGAGGCGAAGCTCAGTAGACCGAGAGAGGTGCGCCGGGGCCCGACGGCAGTGGCTGATAGTCCTGTGACATGGGTCGGTCAGGCTGGGGACGGGGGTGACCTGTGCTCTCGGTCAGGTTAGGCTATCGTAGTGACAGGTGAGATGGGTCGGTGAGGTTAATGGAGTGACGCTGCTGTGTATGATAGTTCAGGTAGACTGATAGATATGTAAACTGGCGAAGATTCGTGTGTCTTTTTATTAGCAAGTCTTACTTTTGTGATATAGCGCTGACTTCATCGAATTTTACGTGACCTGACCTGATCTGACCTCTTACAGACAAGAGATGGAGGAGGAACACCACTCGGGGAAGAACGCCGCCAAGCAGCGCTCCCAGATCATCTCAGAGATTACCGAGCAGAACCAGCGGCTCACCCGGCAACTGCGAGACGTGAGTGGCGATAATTTCACAGTCCAATTCCACTTCTCACTTTCTCACTCGCTCACTCACTCCACCACGAGGTATTCTTCCTTTTGTTACTCTACCTCAAATCATGAATACAATATTAATGTATTTATTCATTCTAAATTACTTTTATTTTGACGCTGGTGATTCATAACACTGGACCTTTGCTGTTCTAGTTCCATCCTATAAACCCACGAATTTCGCTTTCAGGCGGCTACCACAGATAGCAGTAGTGCTACTGTTATCTGTGATGTTACGTAAGACCGAAGTCCTAAATCTCAAACGGCGCAGCTCTTTGTATAAAACATCATGCATCGGTGATACGTTTCCTTTCGGCATGAATCCACTATAAGAAGCTGTAAGTGAACAGTGTCTACCGGTCAGATGGACTCGGTCTCTCCACACCCATGGCACCCACACTCTGTTCGGGGCCATTTAAAGGGAGATAATGACCTTTTTCCACAAAATCTGAGTTAGGATCATTTTCTGACAAAACACAACAAGTTGTAATGTAAATTAAAACCATTTTGCTCAATGCGGTACCTTGCCGCAAATATCTCAACTTGAAGTCACGTTAGCGGGGAGCGCTGAAAATGACCGTTGAATAAGTACTTACATCACTTTTTGGTACTTGCATGTAATTTTGTAAAATGAGCGTATTCCTTACATTTGATCTTCATCACATCTAGTTAGTTAATGGTCGTCTATAGTGCCTTCAAAAGATATTCATGGTTTGGGGGTGGTTTATGTCTAAATTTACGCAACTATTTTTCCTGTTCATCATCTGAGGCCATATGCTGCTATTTTAGTAGCAACGACTCAATTTTGAATCGGTCCCGCCGACTGCACAATAAAAGAAGATAGATACAACACTTTTGCGGCATCACTGAAAAACTTATGCAGTACTGTTATCAAAATTATCATAACACCGTTCGACAAACCTGAAGTCTTTTTGAAATAAATATGCTTGTATTTTTCGCTTCAGGCTCTGAGGCCAAAATAATGAATTTCGTAGTCGCAATCGCAAGATTTGGCTGCGTTTCTGGCGCATGCCGTTCATTTGTGGCGCAAAATAATACCTGGAAACAAAGAAGAGTAGGCACTATGTACGAATCTAATTAATTCTAAACCGAATTAACTCTAATTCAAATTAGAATCCTTACAACCAAGCAACGACAAGGCGATAACATAAACAAAAACCCAAGCGTCGCTGTTTGAAACAAAAGCGCCATATACTGCGACTTTTTTATAGAGAAGGACAAGAAGGACAACGCATTTCGGTGGGTGTTACAAGTACTGCAAGTACTGCTTCTTTTTTGCAAAAATAAAAGCCTTTTTCACATACGAAAATGTGCTAGGAAATTTTCATATTTTATAGAAACTACAGTAGAAATAGTATAGATGTCGAGTAATTTTTATTAAAGAAAAAAGAAAGCTCATTATCTCCCTTTAACCCGCGCCCAGATGGGGTCTGCCGAGCAACGCGGTCTGATGGGGGGGGGGGGCCATTTTGGCCCCCCCCCCTCAGATCTCGAGAACCACGCAACATAGCGACAAGCGGTAAACGGTGTTGGATAGCCCCAACGGGGAACTACCTTGTGACCCAATTTCATTGACCTCGGTCAAACCGATGACGTCACAGGTCAGGTCAAAGGTCGAATTTTCACTGTTTACAGGCATTTCAAAAAATGCGTTGTAAAATCGTGTAAAATGCATTTCATTGAAAATCATCGATGGGAAAATGTTCTTCAAACACATATTTTGCTATTTGAGGTCACTGATACCAGGTCAGGTCACAGAGGTCAGGTCACTGGGGGGTCACAATATGAAAGTGTCGTGTGATACATGTTTTATGGTCCATTTTACATGACAAATGCGATTATGTGGGTCAGACAGACTTTAGGGCCAGCTTAGGTCACGTTTTGGTCAAGGTCAGGTCAAGGTCAGGTCAAGGTCAGGTCAAATTAGGTCAAATTTCAAAGTTGATATTTTTGCATAAAATGGGTATCGATTCGATGCAGCTCGTCACGGGGAGTTCAATGGTGGTCTCCGTTTTGCGCTACGAGGTCTAGAATTGCTAAAAATTGAGTTCAAAAATTTGACGTCATCAATTTTTAACAGTTTTTTCGCTATAACATGGCCAAAAAAAGAGTTATCGATCTAAAATTTGGTATTTATATCGAAGAGCGCAGGGTCTATCACATATATTCCGTTTTTTTTTTCGAAATTCGAAAAAAATTTGGAAATTTTTTGAGTTTTTCTAAAAAAATCATTTTTTTTTTATTTTTGGGGGTCAAAATCCAAAAATTTCGAAAATCCGAGATAGCGGTTTTGTAGCGCCGTCTTTTCTCTACACGAACACATAAAGAACTTTAAAATTGCTTGTTAACTGTAGAATTAGTGAGCGTTTCAAGATGTCATGTTTTTTGCTCATTTTTACTCGAACATGACCTCAGTTTGACCTCAATAACTCCTGACCTGAGGTGACCTGTGACTTGAAATTTTGTGTGAAGGTGTCAAATTGATGTCCGGTAAGGTACCCAAAATTTGGCGGCGCTGCGCGCCGCCGTTTTCTCGCTATTTAAGAAAAACCACAGGGGGGCCAAAATGGCCCCCCCCCCCATCAGGGCGCGGGTTAAGGTGGGAGTGGCAGCTCAGCCGAGCGTGTATACGGTTTCTTCCAGCACGCTAACAGGACTTCACGCTCGTGATGGCCGGTTGTTGAGGAAAACTGGCGCAATGGCGGAAACTGGTGGACTTTTTACCTATGTGTTGCACGACAGCCATGTGTCGGGTATTGGCTCCGTTGATCTGTTCAGTGACGGGCGTATCCTGGTCGTGATTCGTTTGGGCTCACGTGCGCCATCAACAGCTCAAGCTCGCCACGAGTCTCGGCTATGGCCTGGTAGGTATAGTTCACGAGTCTTATATATGGCTCGGCATGGCTCACAAGATCTTTTTTTCGGTGTCACTCACGTGCTCTATCACGACTCAGAATCGCTCACGAGTCTTGACTATATGGTTAAAGTGATTCACGAGTGACGAATCCCTTTCACGTCTGTTTATGGTTCACGATTCCTGTCTGAGTTGGCTGTTGTTGTTGTTGTCGGTCCCCGCAGCCGCGGCGAAGCCGCGGTGTAGCCTAGTGGCTCTGGAGGGCCCTGAAGGCGGCCACCAGGGCCGCCACTGCGTCGCTGCGCCGAACCTCCTCTGGGGTCGGCAGTATGTTGCCGATGGCCTGGGTCCGGAGGCGGACCCCCATCATCCCCGGGCATGTCAGGAGGATGTGTCTTGGTGTGTCGGCTTCCTCTCCACAGAGCCTGCAGCGGGCCGCGATACAGCCGAGACTGCGGCACTGTGGGCAGTCCACGGACGGGTTCCTCCCTATCTCGTGGAGGAACTGGGCGGAGCCGCTCCATCGCCCAGTTCGGATCTGGTGGACGTCGATTGCGCTCGTCCTGTCCATGTTGGAGATTGGCGGTGGGTACCCTGTGCCCATCAGCTCACGGTACCAGCCGGTCGCGGCCTTGTGTTCCGGGTCCGGGTAGGACGGCCTCTCCCTGGCGGCGCGGTCTCTTGCGGTACGGACCGCTGCTCGGTAGATGGTCTCCACGTCGAGCGGAACGTCCTCCTGCGCCAGAGCCGCAGCCTCGTTCGCCAGTGTGTCGGCGGCCTCGTTGCCCGGGATCCCGCAGTGGGATGGTACCCACTGTAGGGTGACCGGTCGGTCCCCAGCTGTCGCCTCCCGCTGTCGCTGTCGCTGTCGCCTGTCGCCTGTCGCTGTCGCCTCTGAGTTGGCTCGACTCACCGGTCTTGCCATCTCCAATGTCCATGGCTCCGTGTAACTCACAAGTCTTATTCCAAGCTCAGCCTGGCTCACATGACTCCCCCACGGCCTGGTGTGACTCACCAGTCCCGCCCACGGCTCCGCCTGGCTCACGGCTACAACCGTGGCAGTCACGGCCACATGCGGCACACCCACGACTTCGATAGAGCCTGAGAGCGCGGTCACGATACACAGCTGTTGGAAGCCGGCAGCCCCGATAGGCAACGCCAACAATCAGCAGTGTTCGCTCGCTGTCCGCACAACGTATATCCGGCGTGGCGGCATTCGAGCGACGCGAACGGGAACAAAGCGTTAACGGTACTACAGAGACACGCGGTCCCGCCCGCTCCGTCAGGAAGCAGTGGGAATGGCAACATGTCGAATGTCACGTGGGGTGGAGGGGAGGGGAGGGGGTAAATGTAGCACTGACGTGCCTGAAGGGGATGGATGGGCGAGCAAAGCGTGCCATGGATGTAGACTCGTAGGGCTTTGATGATTGCTTAATTGGTGCTGTCAACTGACTAATTAGTCAGTTAGACTAATGGTAGTTGAGGTATTAGAATACCAGATGTTCATGTGTCAGGTAAATGTTCACGGGCTTTTGAACATGAAGAGCTCGCTAGAATGCTTTAACATCCGGGTCATAAGGCAGGTTTCTGAAGAGATGGCTGTTTAACACGAGTAGGCCATGCGTTAGCATTTCTCGGATTCCTTTTATGTTCTCCAAAGACATGGCATTGCTTGAATATTTAAATGGTTATTAAATGGCTAAGTATTGGCCTATATTGAACAAAGCTGTGCGTACGTTGCGAATGACACACTTATCATCATGCATATGCATTACGGTTTGCAAGCTCTGATATGACCTGTCGAATAAAAAACGGTTGCGTCAGTGAGCGACAGCAAGGCTACCATTCCATATACCGGTGCAAAAAGCGGTCCAACGTTGATGGAGCCTTACCGCTGGCTAAAACGTCGCTCAAACGGCATGTCCCTGTGCCTGTTCAGGTGAGGATAAAAACTGCCGTTTGGAACCGGCAATGGACAGCTGTTGGCGACTGATGCTAGATAAGACAGTCGTAATACCTGCTGGCTGTCTCAAATGCATTGAACTAAAGTCACCTGACTAGCAACCTGCTGCATTTGTTGACATTTGCCAGTCCCCACTCTGCAATGGCATATTACTGGCGCTGGGCTTGGTTTGGAAATTCACATGTTTAGAATAGTGCACTATTTTCAACAAATAATGTTTTATTCGATTTAAATTCAAAGGTTGTTTTATTTGACCAAATTCAAAATGTCAATCTTAAGAACGGGAATGGTCGTTGGACGGAAATAAATGACACTACAATACCTGTAAGACAAGGTACGTACCATCGTATCTCCAGAACGGTTGGAGAGGACATGAATGTCTCTACTGCCTACTAACCTTATCACCGATGGTTCTCTCACATCTGTCACTCTCACTAGTTTGTCATCCAAAGTTGTTATCTGTCATCCCTGCCACCAAACACCACTGTCACCGCAACCACTGTCACCGGGAAACAATGCTGCACCAAAGCTCCAAAACTCTGTAGTCAGCACGGTAGGCGTATTTCATCCACTGTCCGCTACCCGTCGCGTCATTTTCAGCATTAGCCACCACGTCCCCGTTTCGATCTTCGTGTCCTAGCTACGGTCCCAGTTCCCTTCCTGTCCATTGGGCCGTCTCGATGCTGATACGATTGTAGTTTTACTAGAACAAAATACCACTGCAACATTCCTTCCACTATTTTTGAATAGTTTCGACGCGCCCACTTCAAGAGACCATTGTTTTGAGCGTATTTTAGGTCACGGGCGCTTCAAGGCCGTCTTTTCCATCATTGTTGTGCCTTCGCCTAAAGATGACATATTCATCTTCGGCAGCTCTATTGATAAAGCGCAGACCAAAGAGGCATCGATAGATGAAATTTATTGACAAAATCTAAATCGTTATTCCATGCTGTGAATTTCAACACTCTATAAGCAACAAAATCGTGCTGCATCTAGCTCTCAGCGTGATAAAGGACCCGGGACCCCTCGTTTTAAGCCGGACGGAAACGTGATGCTGGTGTTTACCAGATAAACTGATACCGGAGACGAATGGAGCGCCACACTGACTCAGCTGCTTTTCTATAATGCCTCCATTTTCCGAGTTCCAGCAGCAAAACGTTTTATGCAAGTCTTGCTTGCAGTTGTTTATGTGTGAATTGGCGTTCGCGTTCGTGTACGTTGAAAACTTAGTGCTCCAGGGCTGGAAATTAGAATATATAAACACATCCAAGCTTGAAATGATTAGTAAACATATATTGCTATCTTGTGCGATTAAGCAACACGCTGCTCATCCTCTTGTAACACAAACTCGTCTAGGTGACTAGGTGCACACATACTGCTATATGTTCACCTTCCCCACCATTCGAGTTTTCAGACCCTGCAGGCTGCACGCTATACTCGTAAATCCAGTCACCACTAACAAGTCTACTGAGTGTCCAATGGTGTTACTTTCTCGACTGACGTCTAAAATGACCCCTATCGTGTCATGACCCCCATGAGTCCCTCTGTGAGGCTGCTGAGTGTTTCTGGCTTTACCAGTGTGCTCATGCAATGAAATGCCTTTAGCAATGGGCCAATTCGACTGGTGGATTAGCTTCTATAGCTTGTTGCACCATGCCCTGAGCCCGTCCGCTCCTGTTGCGAAAACGCAATGCCGAGGATGAGCGACACAGAAAGCTGGTGCTGTCCCTGTCGCATTGGCTCATGCAGTTTGGCACTTCAGTTGAAATCCCCGACTATTATTTTTACACTAACGCACCGTTCTAGCTGTGAGCTGATGTAACGGTCACCATAACTCATCTTTGACCTGACCCTGACCTTTTTCCAACAGGCCATCAAGAACGAGGAGCAGCTGAACCTGCAGTTGCAGCAGATGCGGAGTCAGCAGGACCTGCGGCGATCCAGCATCAACGATCACATGTCACACATGGAGATTATGCGAGACGAGGTGGGTGGCACACGGGGTGGGGTGGGGTGGTAAAGCCGTGATGGACGACGGTGCCTCGTCTGGTGAGCTCTCTCTTCCAGACGAACGTTGACTATTTTGGCTGGGGTTTCAAACTTCGTCGACACAATAAAATAAAATAAATCATAATCCACATCATATAACATCATCTATCTACATACAACATCGCTCCTCTGTCACACCACAATAAGCATTGTCATAACTCTGCATCCCTTAGGGACCTGTGTATGTACAATGCACATATCTACGTCAAACAGCCTTCACACATTCACACTGTCAGTGTCTTTATGAGTGCGGTTGGGAGTTAAGAAACTCTGATCTGTGCGTCGTGTGCCGATAGTTGCCAGCCGGTCACCCGTCACTGCAGTGGTTACCAGGCCCCGTTACCACAACACCGTCAACTTAGCAAACGTCGCAAGGCAGTGGATTATAGCGGCACATACCCAGAATGTTCGCTTGTATCCAGGCGACTGAGAGGCACAGCATTACCCAGGATAGTCCGTTTAATCCACCTGGTCTGTGGTCGAGGAACGTTGAGATTTATAACGCCTTTTTAACCTATCTCTGCAAATTTGTCGATACCTGTAGGCATGTACACATTTTACTCTGGAATTCATTCTAACATACGACTTCCTGAAAATAGTTCTAAAATTGATCTGCCGATTAGATATCCCACATACGTTACTCATGGAATGATATATGCATTTAGGCATTTATCGGCTTCCAAAACACTATCATAAAGTATAAATCGCCTAAAAATGCAAAGATACACCCCTATTTTTTCATCCAAAGGCCTCGGGTCCTGGTTCTCCGCTGGACCAGTCACACACGAACCTCGACGGTCGCTAATGCGATCGATCCGCCGTCTCCGGCCAACACTCAGATGGAGGGCACTCGGAGACCAAACGCTTGAGGACCAGCTCCGCCCTCTGAACCAACAGGCCCTGAGGAGGCCCCACGCACACACGGCCGCAGGAAATGCGCACATCCATACAGCACTGCTTGGGACAGCTCAGCTCGCGAATACGGCTCGGTCAGCAAATGTGTCTTGGGTAGGAAAAGTATGCGATTTAATAACAGGGGTCATTACTCAAAATTATTACTGGCAGGGAAGTAGTAGGTACAAAGAAGTAAAAGTCTGGGAGTCTGTTTACAATTAATCATAGTTCGTGACTCTGGAGTGAAGGGTTGTGGGAATATAGGATCGTTTGTAGTACTAGATCGTTTTTGATCGGTCTGCTTATGCGTTTTGCCGATTTCTTCCTCCCTTTCGATACTTTCTCTTGCTGATTTTGATGAAGATATTGGTGATAAAGTACCAAATCTCCAGTGCCGAATTTCTATACGAGTTAATAAGTGTAATTTATGGTCCATAGTCGTAATGCCTATCAGCTTAAGTGCAACATTTAGACTAGAAAAAAAACATGTGAGAGTGAGCGAAATGTAACAGAAACTGACGTATCTGTTATCTCCGACAGATAAACATCCTGACTGACAAGCGTCTAGAGCTGGAGCGGCGGGTACAGTCACTGCTGGAGGAGCGGGAGACGCTGACATCGCAGCTGGACGAGGCCTCAGAGCGGGTGCTGCTTCTGGAGCGAATCGGCCGGGAGCAGAGCGGCCAGCTGCGGCAGACGCAAAGAGAGGTGCGGATGAGGGGGAGGGAGGGAGGGTGGAGAAGAGAGAGAGAGAGAGAGAGAGAGAGAGAGAGAGAGAGAGAGAGAGAGAGAAGAGAGAGAGAGAGAGAGAGAGAAAGAGATAGGGAGAGAGAGAGAGAGAGAGAGAGAGAGAGAGAGAGAGAGAGAGAGAGAGAGAGAGAGAGAGAGAGAAAGAGATAGGGAGGGAGGGAGGGAGGGAGAAGGCGGGGAGAGAGAAAGGGAGAGGAGGGAGGGAGAGGGAGAAGGAAAAGGAGAGAGGTAGAGAGGGAGTGGATAGGGAGGGAGAGGATGAGAGATGGGGAGGTGGGAAGGCGCGGTATCAATAAGCGCACAAAGAAGCTGATGTGGAACGGATTGAAATTTGTCTAGCGCCGATTTCCAGCTGACCTCACGCTTTAATGTATTTATAACTGTGCGGTCGTATAGTTACTAATCACACGCCAGCTCCCACGATTTGGTGATTGCCTGTGTTCGTGATATTAATGAAACATGACTGAGAGTACTCCCTGGTTCAAAGGTCAGGAGAGAGGCTCGTTATTTGGCAGATTTGCTACAGTTGACAGCCAGTCATGCGGGCTAAATGGCCCCGGCTGGGCGGGCTTTCCGTTCCTTAGCAACATTGCATCTGAAATAATAACATCACGTCCGTTATTTATTTATCTATTCAACATGCACGATAAAACAAGATAGTAATGCAACATTCTGTAGGCTATTCAAGACCGTTCATGTAGGCATCAAAGCTACTCCCCTCGTCATTAATCGCTGCCTCCGCAATTATGTTTTTTAATCAAAGTATCATCGCCCTTGCATGCTTCATATGTGCCACTGGTCGCTGGAAAAGAAAAGTTACAACGTTTTGTTTTTCTTTTCTTTTTCTAAGTTAACTAAATTAGTTTTCTTTCTAAATTATCTCATCAGCTGCCTTACAGCTTGCCGGTGTGTTTACTGCTGACGATGCCGTGTTAATTGATTACGTCAAAGGTCAATTAACGCCATCACGATATTTCTTTTCCCTACACAGGTGGGCGAGCTAGCGGCGACCAACACGTCTCTGACGGACCGACTGGAGGTGCTGAGCCGTCACTCGAGTCCCAGCACGGCTCACACCAGCCTGATGAACGAACTGGACATGTCGGCCGATGAGGGCATTAGCTCCGGTAGGTATCTCTGCTGGGGTAGCGGGGAGAGGTTACGTAGTGATAAAACTGTCAGATTGAGTGAAGCTGTGAGGTAAAGAGGAAGATGCCCGATAGAGACCCCGGTCGCCGCGCTGGTCGGTTGTCATTTGTCACAAGTTTGTCTTCACTGGTTAGTAGTCAGTAGTCAGTAATCAGTGGTCAGTGGTCAGGTTTACTAGTCACAGGTCGGTTGTTACACTTCAGTGGTTGGTGACCAAAGTCGGTGATCAATGGTGGATCGATGTGTGACTGACCGGATTCGAGGCCGCTGGGAGCCAATAACGCCAGCCGGAGTCATTTGAGCCGACCAATCAACATCTGGCACGTGTCTGTCCCAGTCGGTCATTGGTCAACAGACGCTGTTTGCTGTAGCTCGAATGTCGCACTTTATTGGCGGCCCCTTCCCGGCTGTATTGGAGAAAATTGAAATGCAGTAGGCTCCGCTTCATTACGTTGTGGTCGATTCTCATCAAACAACAGCCAATATTTAATTTTGATGGATACGGATACCATTTCTTGCAGCTAGCTCGGCAAAAGTGCAGCATAAGGAACCTACACCTAATCGTTTCAAATATAGCCCTAAGATTTTTAAATCCTACTCTTTACCATCAGACCATTGCACTGCTTTCCATGTGATTTATAAAAGTGCATTACACAGGATAAATAATCATTAGTTGCTTCTTCATTTAATATAAGGAGATATAATCAACACACTTTGACACTCGTATAAACTAGGTATTATTTCTTATGATTTCAGCCACCTTTGTCGGATGATTTGATTGCGACACAGGACACCTTCAATCGGGGTTCAGAGACTTTTGAATTCACCGCCTCGTTCGGACGATAGGCTCTGAACTGAACTATTCTGACACCGTCCGTCCGGTAGTTTTCCATGACATCTCTTGTTGTTTCCAAAACAACAAATTGAATATTTACGGATGAGGCGTCCATGATGCATTTGCTTGGCTCATCAGAAGTGTTGCCTGGCTGTCAGCGCGTTGAAAAATGCGCAAGAATCGATTTTTGTTTTTACTGAATGTGTGATTGATCTGAGGGAATTCTAAAACTAACTTTGTTTTAATTTTGGCCTATAATTTATTATCACGAAATACAACGACCCTTTAATGTGTAAAGCTTGATTTTCTCGTTAAGGCCGGCAAAACAGTAGAAGTGTTAATTGACATCAACATTTAATGGTCCTCCGGGCCGGATACTTGTAACGGGATTATCCGTAAAAGCTTAATTATTGTAGCGGTCGCGGTAAACGATTGTTTTATGAAGTGCAATTGATTTAAGTGGCACTATGCGTGGGCCTGATGGAGCCGAATCACTCAAAACAAGGAGCGAGGCATCGTCAGAGAAAACAACCTCCTCCAAGAGAAGTGGAGCCTGGAGACGAGCTCAGCTCTCGAAGCTGCGGGCTGAGCAGGCCCAAAAGGCTGCAGACGCGGCGATAAAGCGGGCCCAGAGGAATGCTGAGGCCCAAATGGAAGAGGCCAGAGAAGAAGCTCAGCGAGCAGCCGACCAGGCCGAGGTGGACGCACTCGAGCTAAAACTACTTGAAGAAGATGAGGAAATTGAAGACCGAGCTGACAGTTTAGCGAGCAGGCGCGAATCTCGACTTGGAGCGGCGGCCAGACATGCGGTGAGGCACCAGTGTGGGCAGCCAGAGCTGAATACAGGCGAAGAAGACCCTCAGAGACGGACGAGAGGATGGGTTCAAAACTTACCGTCCGACGGCGCCGGCAGTGGCATTACACGAGAGTGCTCGGCGCTACCGAAGGTGACGCTGGAGAAATTCAGCGGGGCGCCATTAGAATGGCCAAGATGGAGCGCTATGTTCCGAACACTCGTGCACGAGAGCCGGTCGCTGACGGACACCGAGCGAATGGTTCATTTGCAGTCATGTTTGACCGGCGATGCTCGTGAAGCAGTGCGAGGGCTACTATGTGACGGCAGCCTCTACCAAGAGGCCATGAACGAGCTGGAACTACAATTTGGAGACCCTTCCAGCGTAGTCGGCAGTACCCTGTCGAGTGTTCTTCAGCACCCAGCTGTGAAACAAAATGACTTGAGCGCTCTGACAAGCCTATCACGAGCGCTACACGCTGCCGTGAGCGTCCTCTCTTCACTTCACTTCCAGGGTGATCTGACCGCCACGACGAACCTCAGACAAGTTGTTTCAAAACTACCAGCCTCTCTCGCTTGGCAGTGGGGTCAGAGAGAGGTAGAGCTGTTGCCGCGTTTTCCGACGCTGGCCGACCTAGACCAGTGGCTGAAGGGAATTGTGTTGGCTGGTCGCCGCGCCCTGCCAGGTCTGGTCCAAGATGAGACTGGAACAGCTCCGGTAACGCAGTCAAGAGGCAACAGAAGGTCGTCACCATCCCGGGTGCAGCAGCGTCAGAAGCCACCGGCTGGGTCGTGGCGCACTACGTTGGCTACAGCGACCGGGACCGAGCAGTGTAGTGTGTGCAAGGCGGAGTGGCACGAGCTGAGTGCCTGTCCGACTCTGCTAGCAGCGCCACCTGAGGAGCGCCTCCGGCTGGTACGGGACTGCCGGCGGTGTTTCCGCTGCCTCAGTGATGCTCACTGGGCTAGGAAGTGTCCTAGAAAGACAGTGTGTGGGCAAAATGGATGTAAGGGCAAGCACCATCACCTGCTTCACATCACGGCACCGACTCAGATATGTGTGAGGCCATCAACTGGCGCGGAGGCAGACAATCCGAGGCGCGTGCTATCCACCGCGGCTGGTCAGTTGCCTACCAGAACGAATGCAACACTCCTGCAAGTTGTTCCTGTGAGAATTCATGGAGATGGAGGATCGTACCGTGACACCCACGCCTTGTTAGATCCTGGCGCAGACACGTCCCTCTGCACGGAACAAGTAGTCCGGGATCTGTCCATTACCGGCTCGGCCGAACGGCTGCGACTCAGCAATGTTGAAAGTTCAGGTCCGAGCAAACCGTCCTTGAAGGTGAGTCTGCAGTTGTCTCCACTGTCCCCAGGCGGCGAGACTGAGATCGTGACGGTGGCGGAGGCGTTCACGGTGCCGCAGCTTAACGTCCGCCCCACGAGAGTCGACTGGAGCCAGCGCGAGAAATGGAGCCATCTGTCCGACATAGAACTGCCAGACACAAATCACCAGACGGTGGAGCTGCTGCTCGGCGCGAACGTCATGGAAGCTGTCGTGCAAAAGGAAGCCAGGATTGGAAAACCGGGGCAGCCAGTGGCGATCAAGACACATTTCGGTTGGTGTCTGACAGGAAAGGTCACAAGCTTGGTCCCTGTGGGAGCGAGAGAGATCATGCACATGGTCAGAGACCGCTCTGCTGATGACGAGTTAACGGAGCTAATGCAAGAATGGTGGACTACAGATGCATTCGGTACCACCCACGCCATGACCCAGCCACACTCGTACGAAGATCGGCTAGCCGAGCGACAGATGGAGCATTCAACTCGATGGCGCGGGGACCGTTATGAAACGGGTCTCCTGTGGCGATCCCAGGACGTAAGGCTACCTGACAACTATCAGATGGCTGTGCGGCGGCTAGAAGCCACAGAAAGAGCGCTGAAACGAGCACCGGACAAGGCTGACGCCTATCGACAGACAATGAAGGACTACATGTCAAACGGATATGCAAGAAAGGTCGAAGACGACTGTGAGAATCAGGACGGCAAACAGTGGTTTTTACCACATCATGCCGTCACGAATCCCACGAAGCCTGGGAAGTTCAGAATCGTTTTTGATGCCGCGGCTAAATATGCAGGCGTGTCATTAAACGAGCAGCTGTTGACGGGCCCAGACCTGCTCAAGACGGTTCCCGGGGTGCTACTTCGATTCCGTCAGGAAGCCGTAGCTGTGACTGCTGACATCGAGAAGATGTTTCTTCAGATAGCTGTGAAAAGAGAAGATCAGTTATCACTTCGATTCTTGTGGCGTGACATGGATTCCGGAAAGCCGCCAGAGATCTATCAGATGGATAGAGTCATTTTCGGTGCACGGTCGTCACCGGCTTCTGCGAGCTTTGTGCTACACCGCACCGCTGAAGAAAAGGGGGCTGCAACCGCAGCTGGACGTGCAGCGACAGCCACGGTCAAAAACAACTTCTACATGGACGATTTAGCCACGTCAGAGAAAAACAGTGACACCGCTCTACAAACGGTGAGAGAGGTCACAGAACTTCTAGCCAGAGGTGGTTTTCGTCTCAGAAAGTGGCTAAGCAACAGCAAAGATGTGCTATCTTCGATCCCAGTCACTGAGCGCGTGCCAAGTGCAGCCGACCTGAGCGTCCAGCTACCCTCGGAGAAGGTGTTGGGCGTGACGTGGGACGCGCAGACTGATGACCTACATGTGGCTGTACCCACACCTGCAGTAGAGAAGGCGACAAAGCGAGAAATACTGCGTGTCGTGGCTTCCATTTTCGATCCGCTCGGACTGGTTTCGCCGTTTGTGCTCATTGCCAAGCTGCTGCTACAGGATCTGTGGTCAAGCCAACTGGGCTGGGATGCCGTTCTTGCTGATGAGGAGTCACGCCAGTGGTCATTGTGGCTGGCTGACCTACCGAGAGTCGCTGATGTGAGAGTCTCACGCTGGTATGGAGCTCAGAACGCCGCGGTCTCGCTGAGACAGCTTCATATTTTCTGTGATGCCTCGGAGAGGGCATTTGGTGCCGTCGCTTACCTCCGCGAAATACACGAGGACGGACAGATCAACTGCGCGCTCGTCATGAGCAAATGTCGTGTAGCTCCTCTGCAAAAGCTAACCATCGTGCGTCTGGAGACTCAGGCCGCCGTTCTGGCGGTGCGGCTGGCCACCTGTGTGAAAAAGGAGCTGACGCTGGAACTGCACGATACCATATACTGGAGCGACAGCCGAGTCGTGCTGAGTTACATCTCAAATGATAGTAAAAGGTTTCATACCTTCATTGCGAATCGAGTCGCTGAGATTCGCGATTCGACGCATCCCAATCAATGGAGACACACACCGGGCGAATGCAACCCCGCCGACGACTGCTCCCGTGGACTGATGGCTTCTGAACTGACCAGAGACAGCCGCTGGGTAAGAGGGCCCGACTTCCTATGGCGACCGGAGGAATGCTGGCCGAGCAACCGTGAGCGGTCTGAAGTGGACAAAAACGACCCAGAAGCAAAGGCTGTGCTGACCACTCGTTGTGAAGGTCAGCCATCCGCGATCGTAGGACCGGACCCTGATCGGTTTTCCAGCTGGGCGCGATTCAAGCGAACCATGGGATGGATTCGCCGATTTCTACACAACTTTGCAGCGACCTATGGCGTAGACGGCAATCCAGCTAGGAAGCTGACTGGTCCGCTGTCATCTGAGGAGCTGCAGAGCGCAGAGACCGCCATCGTGCGCCAGATGCAGCGCACCTCCTTTGCTCAGGAGGTCTCAGCGCTAGAGAAGGGCCGTGGCGTTCGTACAGACAGCCACCTGCAGCCGCTGACACCTCAGCTGGATGGAGACGGTGTGCTTCGAGTTGGTGGCCGTCTCACCAACGCACCCTTACCCGAAGAAACTCGCCACCCGGCGATCCTGCCCAGAGACAGCCGTGTGACCGCCCTGATCATCACGTCGTCACACGAAAGACTGATGCATTCTGGAGTAGACCACGTGCTCAATGATCTGCGGATAAAATACTGGATCCCCAGAGGACGTGCGCTCGTGAAGAAGGTGCTGCGCGACTGTCCTCTCTGTCGCCGTCGGCGTGCGACACCCTGTCAGCCACGCATGGCAGACCTGCCAAAGGCCCGCTTTGACAGCTGCTACCCGTTCAACTCAGTCGGAGTTGATTACTTTGGCCCACTTCAGATTAAAACGGGAAAACGCGGCACCGAGAAAAGATACTGCCTGCTGATCACATGCATGTCCACGCGGGCAGTGCACTTGGAGATTTCTCGGACACTGTCTACGGATAGCTTTCTGATGGCGTTCACCAGGTTTGTGGCGAGAAGAGGACGACCGACACAGGTGTTCTCTGACAATGGAACGAACTTACGAGCTGGAGAGAAGGAACTACGTAAGCTTATTCGAGGATGGAACCAAACCGTCATATCTGACCGGCTTTCCCAGGATCAGATTCAGTGGCACTTCAACCCCCCCGCCAGTAGTGACATGGGCGGAGTCTGGGAGTCAATGATCGCCTCGGTGAAGAGGGCTCTGAGAGCGGTTCTAGGTCGACTCCTGGTAACTGAAGAAGTGCTGCAGACCGTCATCACGGAGGTGGAGTCTGTGGTCAACAGTCGTCCGTTAACGTACGTGTCAACGGAGGCTGACAGTCTGGAGGCGCTCACGCCATCGCATCTGCTTCTTGGACGTCCATCGATCCAGCTACCACCAGGACTGGTCACTGACGGCGGCATCAGTAGCCGAAGAATCTGGCGTCAGAGTCGAGCACTGGCCAATCAGTTCTGGAGCCGCTGGCTCAAAGAATACGTCCCCAGTCTAGTTTGTCGCAGAAAGTGGACGACAGAGTCACGAAACCTGGTGGCTGGTGACCTGATTCTCTTGGCGGATGACGGTGTGCCGCGCGGTTACTGGCCACTCGGGCGAGTCGTTGAAGTCTTCCCGGGACCAGACGGCCGGGTGCGATCGGCTCGGATCAGGGTGCGTGGCGGCATAGTGCACCGCCCAGCGCGCAAGATATGTGTGCTCGAGGAAGCGGACTCCTGAGTCTTCAACGGCCAGCGAGCAGGATATGAGAGGAAGTAGCTGCCTGAGAAGCGCGCATTGGACGGCCATTCTGTCCCTCCGGAGGGGGGAAGATGTTGTTTCCAAAACAACAAATTGAATATTTACGGATGAGGCGTCCATGATGCATTTGCTTGGCTCATCAGAAGTGTTGCCTGGCTGTCAGCGCGTTGAAAAATGCGCAAGAATCGATTTTTGTTTTTACTGAATGTGTGATTGATCTGAGGGAATTCTAAAACTAACTTTGTTTTAATTTTGGCCTATAATTTATTATCACGAAATACAACGACCCTTTAATGTGTAAAGCTTGATTTTCTCGTTAAGGCCGGCAAAACAGTAGAAGTGTTAATTGACATCAACATCTCTGATCTTTTATAAACCCTGCACAACCGGTAGACTCTCGTTATACCAAGGCCATATATAGACGTCATACCCTCTACCCTTAGGTTATATAGGCGTTATAGGCTATAGGCGTTATACCCTCTGATCCTCCTCTCTTTGACCCGACAGGCTCTCACCTACAAACAGAGAACCTTCTGAACCTCGACGACGACGTCGAATGCGACGAGCCTCTGGTGCCCCAGACCGACGCCCAGGTGCTACGCGAGCTCAAGAAGGAGGTGCTGGATGTGTGCCAGCAGATGAAGACGCTGACGGAGCGCAGCAGGGGTGCGCAGAGGAACTCACTCACATCTCTGGATACCAACTCGTCAGATGATGTGCCCCTGCATAAGGTTAAGGTGAGAACTGCGGTGAAGTGGCTGCATACTTGTATGGAATGTAAAGAGGAAATGATGTGGTGCGTGTCACTCACTATACAGTCTGTACAGTCTGGGCGTCACTGTACAGTCTGAAGGAATGAAGTCGTAAATGCACCTTCATTTAGAATGGTGCAGTACGACATATAATTGACAAGCACTATGACTTTGCAAAGCTGATGGGAAACAAAGTGAGTCTGATTGACGGACACTGATGTATAAACACGTATGTTTAGTTGTCCCTGAAAGCGTACTTCATTGTTCTCGGTATATGATTGCCATTGGCTATGCATGATGTCATCTGTATCGCTACAAGCTAGTTTGGCATTATTTACCTCAAAAAGCGAGCAATAAATTCTGCTCCTATTAGTGGCAAAACATTAGCGCCGAGAGCCACCAGAAAAAAACGCATTGTAGTCCTGTTCCAGGCCTGCGTTAATTACATTAGATACGGAAGCACCGTGTGCTATGCAGTGCCGCAAAGCTTCAAGCTTAGAATTCTACCCATAGATGGCGATAGTGCTAGCGCCTGAAGTTATACTGTACCGCATCGCACAGTGCTTGGATTCCTGTCAATAGATGGCGTTAGTGATGACGCCTGAAGTTATGCTGTACCGCATCACATAGTGTTAAGATTTCCTGTCGTTAGATGGCGTTGGGGATAGAGCCTGAAGTTATGCTGTAGCCTGTACCGCATCACATAGTGCTTGGATTTGTCCCTAGATGGCGACAGTGATAGCGCCTGAAGTTATGCTGTACCGCATCACACAGAAGGTACTTTGATTCCTGTCCCTAGATGGCGTTACTGATGACGGCTGAAGTTATGCTGTATCGCATCACATAACGTTAAGATTCCCGTCCCTATGTGGCAGTACTTGCGACGAACCCTGTAACCGAGGTGCTGAAGCCTTTCTCGTGCATCGGTGAGGACAGAGCGGTGGGGAAAAGGAGAGAGATAAGGAGAGAGTTCTATTTTGGTACGATGACCCGTGTCCAGCACACCCTACCAGAGCACAAACCACGTCACAGAAGCCTTTCAAAGTGAATCGATACTTCTGTCTTTACCGGGTCGTTGTTTGGTCCAAGCACAGCTCGACACGAGACCACCGGACAGAGAGCCCTTTCCATCCAAATATTTTAAACAATGCATCACTTACTATCGGGATAATCTCTAGGCCAAAACCCGTCAGCTGACCTTGACATGACCCAGCTTCCGACCTAACCTCCGACCCTACCCATCTCTCCCCTAGGCTGGACTACTCCAGGAGGCGTTCAAGGAGCTCCAGGGTCGCGTTCACGACCTTCTCCGGCCACGGACCGGTGCGTGTGAGACGTGCGGCCGCGACTCTCAGCTTCAGATGGAGATTGACCTTCACGCGGTGCAGGAAAAGTACGACGCCTTGGAGAAGAGGCACGGCCAGCAGTCGGAGACGCTCAAACGCCAGGCCGAGGAGCTGTCCAGACACATGCACCAGGTGAGAGAGAGAGAGAGAGAGAGAGAGAGAGAGAGAGAGAGAGAGAGAGAGAGAGAGAGAGAGAGAGAGAGAGAGAGATAGAGAGAGAGAGAGAGAGAGAGAGAGAGAGAGAGAGAGAGAGAGAGAGAGAGAGAGAGAGAGAGAGAGAGAGAGAGAGAGAGAAAGAAAGAAAGAAAGAGTAGGGGAGAGAGGATGTCGATTTGTGGACTTCGAGTTCTGGTGACAAAAGACAGGGAGCATAGGTATTGTAATTAGCAGTTAGCAGTTATCACCAATTCAATTATGGGTCCTGTCCAGGCGAAGAACGTAGATCGTGTGTGGGCGAGCTATAGACATGTGCAAGACGGCTGGCAAACGATTTACACTGAAACTACCGAGTGCACCTAGTCTCGGCCATTATAATCCTGGCTGACCACCAAGTTCTTCGCTCTGCCGCAGCTGACGATGAAGGAGAAGCAGTATGACGCCCTGAAGGAGGAGAGGGACATCCTGAAGGAGGATCTGAACAGCACACACCTCTCCAAGGAGGAGCTCATCAAAAAGGTCGGTGTGGCTTCCGTAGCGAAAAAAATACCACTGATCTCTTTTCATCGTTTCAACTGAATCATTCGCCAATAAATCGTCGATATTAAATCGAAATTCTGATTTTTATTAACTATCCATCATGCCTCGTCATATCTTGTGTAGACGTATGCGTTCTTGCCAAACCTCATTGACCTCGTTAGCCTCTGGCATGACCTTTGAACTTTGACCTGTGACCTCACTCAGGCGTGGGAGGTGCGAGATAAGGCTGTGGCTCGGAAGAACGCCACAGAGATCGACCTGGCGCGCGCGAGAATCGACGTGATGCAGATCAATTCTCAGCTGCTCGAGTCGATTCAGCAGAAGGTGGAGCTCTCGTGCCAGCTGGATCAGTGGCAGGTGAGTCAGGGAATGAGTCGCATCAGGCTGGATATAAAGCTGTCCGTGCCAGACTCAGCTAGAGTAGCGGGTTGGGACTCGGGGAAGTGGCGATCTGTTTGGGATTAGGAGGTGAACCAGACTGGCTTTCAATAAGCTGGGCTATTAGCACGTCTGAGAGCTGATACCTCGTCTAGAGTTTGTTTTGCTTTATTGGGTTAGGCTATTTCGGTCTATTGAGAGCATTTCAGAGCCGGAAAAAATGATGGGATTGGATGGAGACATTGGCGTGCCTGGACACCTGGTGAGTCGCCGGGCTTGTCTAGATGAGATGTGACCCGTAACGTGGAATCAAGGATGATTCGTGTTTCCGTGCCGGCCCGGAGTTTCTCGCTGACGCTGCTCTTCCCGTTGCAGTCGGACATGCAGCAGCTGCTGGACGAACAGATGAAGAAGAAGCTCAGCCAGATCGAGGGCGCCTCCGACTCCGACTCCAGCACCACCGGCGCCACCACGCCGGGCAGACACAAAAAATCCATCCTGGGCATTTTCAGTCGCTCGTAGCGCCGCCGCGCGGGCAGACTGGAACCTTACGTGTAATATTCACCGCTGGGTGGCGCCGCGGTCGGCCGCCCGGCGGCGACCGCCCCTCGCCCAGAGGACCATGTGATATGTGGAACATTCCATGACGATATGACTATTGTGCTTGAAATGTGTGCGCTGCTGATGTGTCTTTCTCCTGCGGGGGATGATCTGAGGTCGAGTTTGCCGTTATGGAGGTATATTTTCGGAATGTTGTGAGCGGCTGATGAGTTGTGACACACGTTCAGACCATGGACGTTCAACCTCCGTCGGACGCAGGGTGACTTCTTCCACGGACGAGGAGTGCCTATCCGAGCTGGTGTGTCGGCCGCTGCTGGCCGTTTCTGAGGCTGCAGTGTTCGATGGGCGCTCGTGGCGGCGTCGGTACAGCAATAGGAGGCTGCAGCTGGGCTCACGGTGCTGCCGGGATGCGGCTGGGCCCGCCCCTATAGGTCTCTGCCTCCGATATGGTGTCGCATTTGTCACTGGCCGTGCCTCTATTGCATTAAACTCTCGTCACGCCTCGTCGGTCGGACACGTCAGTAAATCCACGCCTAAATTGACCGAGATGGGCACATGGCATCGGTGCGGTGTCCGCTGGCGGCGTAGATGTAACAATGTAGCTTTGTATGAGAAATACACTGGCTAGCTCTGCACATGTCCTGCTTGTTGTTTTTTATGTTTGGTCATTGGTGGTGTTTAGGAAAACAAGGAAGGAAACTGCGGCATATGTAGGAGTAGCCCAGGACATTTTGACGTATGGAATCATTTGGAAGTTCGAATTCTGAACTAACACGCGTATTTCAGTTCCGATAATGACTGCATCGTGCGTATATCCGGAAGCCGCTTCTATCAAAAACAAAACTTATCATTAGATAGCATGGATGAAGGGATATTTTTGCTGACTCGCTCCATCCCCCACCGACCATCATGTAAGACATAAGATCGACTTGGCCCGCCCGATGTCTTCGGACCCGTCCGCAACCGTTTCATGGCTGTGTAGGTATTGCCGTGTGCCGTTGGCCTTCGGGCCTCGTGACGCATGCTAGTGTCGTGCTCACCATAGCTGCCTAACTTGTCTAAAGTTATGTTTTCAAGTGAGGGAACGGCTGCAGCTAGTAGACACATACAGCAGTGCTTTTTAATTTTTATCACGAGGTTCCTTGGACCCAGCCAGCAAAATTGGTCTGGGCCGTAGCTGGTTTTACTCTGGCTAGCTGCGGCACTTTACTCCGGCCGAAGTACGGGCAAGGTCTAGACTCTGGAGCTTTAACTGGAGCTGACACACGATCCCAGAGCTTGCCCGCAGGCCGCATAACAGACGGACTTATGCTGCATCAGCCGTGCCGTACCTCAACCGTACTTCAGCCACAGTAAGCCAGAGCAGCTAAGAGACAGCCGGACCTGGCCGTATAGCAGCGCCGTGGCAGGGAGCTGGACTTGGCGGTTCGAAACCATACCAACTCCGGAACGCTACGGCAAAGACTGGTTAGCCAGAATAGGGCCATGTCGACCCAGCCCCCCCCCCCCCCTGTTCCGACGGCGTCCCGTTTACACTGGACCGGCCCAAATCTGGCGGGTCGGAGCTGCTGGGGCAAAAATGACTTGAGTCAAAGCAATTTAAATTGCTGGCTGTGACGCCAGTCCCGGCACTTGGTCCAGCATAGCTACGTAGTGCCTATGAGCTAAATATGTACCGCGTAGTACGCTTCTCATTCCTAGATGGCTTTAGCGGAAAGTGCCTGAAGGTAGACTGTTCCGGACAGCATGAAACGGCCGCTTAGTACTTTCTTTTCTTATTCCTAGATGGCACTAGCGTAAGGCGCCTGAAGGTAGACTGTTCCGGATAGCATCAAACATAAAGCAAGATCAACTACCGTGATGAGAATATTATATGATTGAAAATAAATGATATTCTTTCACGCGAATGAATACGTAGAAGACAAAAACCCACAGTCATTAACAAGTTCTCATTTAAACAGTGTGGCAACTGGCAGATAGCTAGGAAAGTATGTGTGTATGCTCCTGACACTACAATAATTTCCCTACTGTTATCTAAATTTGAGAAGTTTTCAGTCATAGCGCACTTGTTTCAAATATAATCAAGCGCCTTGTAATGCAAAGAGGTTTCTTATAGGTATCTTGGCAAAGAGCGCGCGCGAGCAGCGTGGGCGCAAAGCTGTATGGTTTGGGATTTGTTATCAAATAAGTGTACTGCCTTATTGTTCTCTTGTGAGAGCATTCTGTTCTTATTTTACAGTCCTATATATACTGTGTTTTCAGTTACCTTGATAACTAGCAAAATTGCAGAATTCAAATTGAATTGCAGGAGACAATCTTAACTGTAACCTTCCTTCATCATAAAATATTCTTTATGATGTCGATGTTCTCAGCCTCAATTTATTGAATAATCACAGAATAAGGGGATACCCTACAATCAAAAGGTAGGTAAACTCTAGGGTAAACTATGGTTACAAAGCTGGTGTCACACTTCCCGTAAAGTGAAACAGCTGAAGGCAGTGTGATGGCTTGTGGCCTTGAAACAGCTCAAGCTGTTGATAAGCGTTTAGGAAGGCCTTTAAATTAAATATTTATTCGCTTTAAATTAATAATAAAGTTAAAATTGAGAAGTGATATACATCCCAATGTTTCGCATTTATTGCTTATTCATGGGCAAAATGCGATTAATTTTTGCGATTAATTTTTGCGATTAGTTTTTGCCCATGAATAAGCAATAAATGAGAAATGTTGGGCTGTATATCATTTTTCAATTTTAACTTTATTCTTAATTTAAAGCAAATGAATATTTAGTTTAAGGTATTGTTATAGCAGGCGTCTCACATGCTGCCACTGGTTTGGGAAAAGTAGCTAGATTCGTCAGGTCTAGAGATATTTCTACCAAGTCGCTATATAGGGTAATCACATAGCGGTGATTTCAAAAACGGAGTCAGTTTTTTTTTTCTGAGCTGGCGGGGGGCGTTGGGGGGGGGGGGGATTGCCCCCCTTGCCGATAGCTCGGGAACGGCTGATCGGAGCCAGGCTTGCAAGGTGGCGTTGGAAAGCGGTCGAGTAGACATGGCCTAATTAGTAATGCAAACTATCATCGGGATACTCGGGGGGCGTAGGGGGGGGGGGGGATTGCCCCCCTTGCCGATAGCTCGGGAACGGCTGATCGGAGCCAGGCTTGCAAGGTGGCGTTGGAAAGCGGTCGAGTAGACAAGCCTAATTAGTAGTGCAAACTATCATCGGGATACTGGGAGGCGTAGGGGGGGGGGGGATTGCCCCCCTTGCCGATAGCTCGGGAACGGCTGATCGGAGCCAGGCTTGCAAGGCGGCGTTGGAAAGCGGTCGAGTAGACAAGCCTAATTAGTAATGCAAACTATCATCGGGATTCCAACGCCGCCTTGGCCTTGCACGCCTGGCTCCGATCAGCCGTTCCCGAGCTATCGGCAAGGGGGCAATCCCCCCTACGCCCCCCCCCAGTATCCCGATGAAAGTTTGCATTACTAATTAGGCTTGTCTACTCGACCGCTTTCCAACGCCGCCTTGCAAGCCTGGCTCCGATCAGCCGTTCCCCAGCTATCGGCAAGGGGGGCAAGGCAATCCCCCCAGTATCCCGATGATAGTTTGCATTACTAATTAGGCTTGTCTACTCGACCGCTTTCCAACGCCGCCTTGCAAGCCTGGCTCCGATCAGCCGTTCCCGAGCTATCGGCAAGGGGGGCAATCCCCCTACGCCCCCCCCAGTATCCCGATGAAAGTTTGCATTACTAATTAGGCTTGTCTACTCGACCGCTTTCCAACGCCGCCTTGCAAGCCTGGCTCCGATCAGCCGTTCCCGAGCTATCGGTCAAGGGCAACACCCCCCCCCACACACACACGCCCCCCCCCCAGTATCCCGATGATAGTATGCATTACTAATTAAGTAATTAGGCTTGTCTACTCGAACGCTTTCCAACGCCGCCTTGCAAGCCTGGCTCCGATCAGCCGTTCCCGAGCTATCGGCAAGGGGGGCAATCCCCCCTACGCCCCCCCCCCAGTATCCCGCTGATAGTTTGCATTACTAATTAGGCTTGTCTACTCGACCGCTTTCCAACGCCGCCTTGCAAGCCTGGCTCCGATCAGCCGTTCCCGAGCTAACGGCAAGGGGGGCAATCCCCCCTACGCCCCCCCCGTATCCCGATGATAGTTTGCATTACTAATTAGGCTTGTCTACTCGACCGCTTTCCAACGCCACCTTGCAAGCCTGGCTCCGATCAGCCGTTCCCGAGCTATCGGCAAGGGGGGCAATCCCCCCTACGCCCCCCCCCCCCCCCAGTATCCCGATGATAGTTTGCATTACTAATTAGGCTTGTCTACTCGACCGCTTTCCAACGCCACCTTGCAAGCCTGGCTCCGATCAGCCGTTCCCGAGCTATCGGCAAGGGGGGTAATCCCCCCAAACGCCCCCCCCCAGCTCAGAAAAAAAACTGACTCCGTTTTTTAAATCACCGCTATGTGATTACCCTATATAGCGACTTGGTAGAAACATCTCTAGACCTGACAAATCTAGCGACTTTTCCCAAACCGGTGGCAGCATGTGAGACGCCTGCTATAACAATACCTAGTTTAAAGGCCTTCGTAAACGCTTATCAACAATTGTCAATATATACTGAACTTGGCTGCCAGTTTATGGGCTGCCGGTGAAAACAGGGTGCCAGAGGGCATATTTGGTCACGTGACTATTGAGAACTTCTCCCCCTCTCAATGCCTTCTACACAGTAATTGTCATGTGCTTTGTGCGAGTGAATTTCAAGAGCCTTGATCAAATCGCCCCAGGCGCCCTGTTTTCACCGTCATCCAGTTTATGAGGTGTCAATCACACTATGGATGCAGCATTTTTGATCAATGAGAGGGATGTGCGTAGTGGAGCGGATGATCCTATGTGATACCCGTTTTCACTCTTGTGGGGATGATAGTGGGTTTGAATCCCATTGGTGGGTAGAAAGTACACTGGGTTTTGCTGATTTTCGCTTACATGTGATTTGAGCTCATGGGTTCAAATGTCGCTGGTGGAACGGGATGACCATGCATGATGCCAAGTTTAAACTGTGGTGAGATAGTAGGTTCAAACATCAAATCCCATTGGGGCAGGCCAAACTAATGTCTTGCTCAAACATAATCTACTAACCTGACAAGTGACAGTAGACTTAAGCAGAAGCCAACTTACTAAGTAACCTAACGTATCCAAACCTGACCAAACCAAACCAAACCTAAACCATACGGTATTCGTAAAACATGCGGGTGTGGCATCTCACTTGTTTTTTGCAACATGGGAGAGGTGCTCAGAGATGCTTTCTAATCAAACCAAACCAAACCTAACCAAAATGACCTAACCTTACATACAACCTACAACCTAAAACCTAAAACCTACCACCCAAACGGGACAAAACCTATGACCTAACTTACAGCATCTGCTCTCCCTGGTTGCAAATACAAGTGTGATGCCTGCTTTACTACTACCACCCATACAGGCTGGCAGTGCACCCATAGCTTGCAGGTTGGCGAGGAGCACCAGCTCAAGCTTTAAATTCACACCAACCTTTCAAACAGAGCTGGAATTTCTGCTCCAGAACAGACTGAGAGTCCAAGAAAACTGCACTGACCCCAATTAATAGTATGAGCTGCAAGCTTGCCATCTCTGAAGGTAGTTTGGAAACAAGAAATATGCACCACATGACTAAAAAAAGTCATGTCAATACAAGAACCATATCCAGTACCTACCTGCCCTTGGCGATTCATCCAGGGCGATTATTATGCCAGGTACCATGGTTACCTACCCCAGCAATGTCAACACTGCCATTTAGCTAAACGGCTTCACAACCTGTTAGGCCCCCGGTAGGGCCGCCAAACCCTCATATAAGCCAAGCGCATCTCGTTTACTAATGCTACATAACGCAACAACCTCAGATTCTTTTGACGCAACTTATTGGCTGCATCAAACATACTCAATACAATACATATAACATACTCGATGTAAAAGTTGACTGCTTGAAGCGGCGGAGATGTGGCCTTGAAGCCCTCCCATCGGCCGTGCACGTCTCGGGTCCCTCCCATTGGCCGTCCTCATCTCTCGCCCTACCGCCGGCGCCTCGTACAGCCGAGCGGGCGTCCACCACGCGGATGTGCCGGACGCGGGTGACGACACCCGGGCGGTCATGCGACGGCCGACTGGTCACAAAAATAACCCTCTATCGACCTTGGGTCGCCTGCATAGAAAAATATGATATATAGGCATGCTTCATACATTGTCATCCCGTGCAGAGTTTCGAAGCAGTTATTCACTCTGTATAGCTAGCTATGACGTTTGTACTCGTAAATCGCTATGATCGCTTACTTCTTTCTCAGGGTGACCGGACCGGAGTTGTACCGACCTTGAGCTGAACTTTTCACAGAATGTGCGGAAAAGATGTAGATCAAAAAGTGGAGGTGTCAAAACGCCACTGCTCCCCAGCTTTATGTCTTAAACCTATGAAGCTGCCCTTTCGACACCATTCACACAGCTGTTACCTTTTCTATCTCTTTCAGCAGCACGATGAGGCCGTCGGTGGGTATCCAGCTGCACTGGAAGTCGTACCTGTCGGACCTGCGCTCACTGCTGCAGCGCCTGCGCCAGTCCGAGGAGCTCACAGATGTGGTGCTCACCAACGGCACGACCAGCATGCGCTGCCACCGCGTCATCCTCTCCGCCGCCTGCCAGACCTTCCACGACCTGCTCAAGGTGATTGCCGTGAATCGCTTGTCTCTGGGCCGTGGATCGCCTGTCTCTGCACAGGCGCCGTATAGCTTTACAGTTGCAGCGCGGCTCAATAAGAATCATTGTCAGGTGCGGTATTCCGATATCATTCAGACGTCCAGTGTCCACACATGCATCAGTTGTTTTCTGAGCGGTTGTGGTGGTCGTCGCCCGCGCCCAGCGCCACCCTTCGGTACTAGTGAGACACTAAGCTTCCGGCCGGCCGTGTTTGGCAAAGAGGGTGAAGCAGTTATCGCCGGTCTGAGACTGTGGAAAGCTGACTTTATCACTGTCTACTTATTGGAGGTAAAGAAAATTGGTTGATTTGTAATTAGCATGTTTATATCTGTTCTACTTGGCACCATTTTTTTAACAGCTATTGACTGGCATTTGCCGTCAAATGACGCTGATAGTGACCTGGTCATTAGTAGGTGGTTACTCCCGCTTGAAAACATAGATCGATTGTCTAACTCTCCTGTTAAATTGTTCATTACTATTCGCCGACTCCATCGCTACCCTGATCCTACCCCACCTCATCGTATCGACTCTGCCTGTGCTCCACACCATTGCTCTAACATCTACCCCCTGCCCACAGGAGCACAGCGGTGACGTGGTGATCTGCCTGGGCGGAGTGGAGAGCGCCGAACTCCGCTCGCTCGTCGACTACATGTACTCGGGAGAGGTGGAGGTGGCACGCGGTCGGCTGGCGGAGTTTCTGGCGCTGGCCGCACAGTGGGGCGTCAGGGGACTGGAGGAGAGTCCGCCGGACGACGCACATACACAGAGGGTAAGAGCTGACTGGATAGGTGGTAGGGTTGCGGCACCGACTGATAGAGATATATCAGACTAGTGTGCATTGTATGCGCAATTGAAAGCTTGCGCTGCTAACGTAGTTTTAGCGGTAGGAAAATCTGCGTTTGGTTGTTCAACGATCAAATGCTGTGTCAAATGCTGATTGTTGTCCAGATCTGAACCCGAAGCTCTCATTTCTCATATGGTATGTGCCATGTGGAGACACATTGACTCTAGGATCGTCTTGTGTTGTCGACAATGGTATTTCTGCGCTAACGCATTTTGACAGGATGTTTGGTGTTGGCTTATCGCCAGGTTCCCGACTCGCTGAGCTCACCCCCTGCTCGGGCAGTAACGGGCGGCCGGCCCCACCTGCTGGAAATCAACTCATCCCCCGCATCTTTAAACAACACCGCTCGGCGGAGCGAGGCGACCTCTGCCGACTCCACGTCCAAACGGAAGGGCCGAGAGTCGGACTGTAGCCCCGCGGACGGCGGCCGCGGCTCCTCCGCAGTGGCGGGCCCGTCGTCGTCCCACCCGCGCGTCCGACAGCCCTCCTCGGACTCCGAGACCAGCTCAGACGAGGACGAGGACTCCCAGACGACGTCCGGAATCAACAGTAAGTGTAGAGAAATCCCAGTTATAGATACCCGGAATCAACAGTAAGTGGTAGACAAATCCCAGTATACACCCAGAATCAGCAAAGAGTGGTAGATAAATTCCAGTAGACACCCGGAATCAATTGGTAGACTAATCCCAGTAGACACCCGGAATCAGCAAAGAGTGGTAGATAAATCCCAGTAGACACCTGGAATCCAGTGAGCTCCCAACTGTCCCCCGGAATCAACAGTGAGTGGTAAAGGACGCTCAGTCGCCCAGTCGATAAGAGAGGGCGGATATGGTATGTGAAACTGCGGTCGCCGCAGGTCGAGGCTTATTGAATCCCGGGCATGTATGATTCACTTGATGTGGGTGCGTCGAGAATGTATTATGGTTCACCAGCGTACTGGGCCTGTATGGGATATTGCTTGCGAATTGTTTTTTCTTGGTTTCATTCTACGAATGGTTGACCTTTTCAGGCGCTGTTTTATCAGCTATCCGTCCAGACAGCGCGAGCAAATCAAACGCTTCATCGGCACAGCAGCCGCCGGGAAAGGCGAGCAGTAAGTTGTAAATCGTGTGACGCTTCGACTTTTATTAGCGATGCCAATCATTAATGTTTTACAACTATTGACATAAGTGGTAGCACTGACGCATCGACTCTTCGTGCATTGTATTATTCAATTCCCGTTTATTTTTTCTCGTGATTGCTATTACTCAAAACTGCACCTAACCGTTTTCATTCCCATATTCACAGGGGCGGATCCAGGAAAACTCCAAGGGGAGGGTCATGAATCGAAGTGGTGCCCCTACCTATACCCAAAATTAAAAACTCAACGGATTTCGTCCACTTCATTTTGGTGGTGCCCCCATTTTCAGTTTTTTTTTATTTTTATTTTTTATTTTTAGTCAGTATCTTAACTCTTAGCCACAACCACATTTACCAATTGTAAGCAAGTATATATGAATGTGCTATGTGTATATGTATATGTTGTGGACGCTGAGTAGTGAGTACTTACCAGGAACGTTATCAGGTAAGCAAATCGTTGTCAGTCCGACGAACTTGACACTGGCGTCTAAAGGGTCTGTCCTTGACACTTCAGGCTTGTCAGGGGCACCAAAGTCCTTCCAGGGACACCACAAACCTGTCAGGGGCACCTATGGCCAGGGTTGGCAGGGGGTGGCAAAAACTGGTTTTTGCCAGTGGTTTTAACCGGTTTAAACCGGCTGGCAGAAACCCCGGTGGCAAAAACTGGCAAAAACTGGATAAAACTCAGGTGGGCCAAACCACAACTTTTCTAGTTAGGAATGGATCTGAAATGTACAAATGCATTTCTTGATGTTATAGAGATGCACCAAACATTCTGAAGTTTGCCTCATTACTTATCCCTGCTTAAAATGTCTATGCATGTCAGTAGGCATCCACCACAGAATGTATTTCCATGTAGGGGAGTGGGGCAAGGCTGCCACGGTAGGGTGCAGTGCGCATATCAGTGGCAGATACCCCTTCGCACTTCTGATTGTGCAGGACTCACTCTTGCACTGGCTCATTTGTCACCCCCAAAAGGCGCCTTATGGAAAGCCCATGAAAATGTTTTTGAGTTATAGAACACTTCAACGGTCAATGTCACTTCTGGTTGAAAGCATAAAGCTTTCACCGAATTCTCCTAAAAATGTTTCATCTTTAAATCCATGTCTAGGCATATCATTGTGCTGGTTTTTAGTTTTTGCCAGTTTTTGCCACTTTTTGCCGGTTAAAACCGGTTTAAACCGGCAAATGGCATAAACTAGTTTTTGCCGGCAAAAATGCCAACCCTGCCTATGGCCTTGTAGGGGCGCCACAGGCCCGCCAGGAAGCAGGGGCACCACAGGCCTAGCAAGGACACTACAGGCCTGTCAGGGGCACAACGGGCCTGTTGGGCCCATGAGCACCCCTAGGGGCAGGGGCACCACAGTCCTTCCAGGGGCACCGCAGGCCTGTGAGGGGCACCAGCGGCCTAGCAGGGGCACCACTGGTCTATCAGGGGCACCACGAGCCTGTCATAGCCAGGCATCTCAGGCTTGTCAAGGCCCAGGGGCACCACAGGTCTGTGAGGGGCACCAGCGACCTAGCAGGGGCACCAGTCAACACAGGTCTGCCAGGGGCGCCACAGACCTGCCAGGGGCACCACAGACCTGCCAGGGGCACCAGAGGGCTGCCAGGGGCACCACCGGCCTTGCAGGGGCACCTTGGGCCTGTCAGGGGCACCACGGGCCTACCGAGGGGCACTTCAGACTTTTCAGGGGCACCAGTCCTCTCCGGGCGCAGGGGCACCAGAGGCCTGCCAGGGGCACCAGCGGCCTAGCAAGGGCACCAGAGGCCTGCCAGGGGCACCACAGGCCTAACAAGGGCACCACGGGCCTGTCAGGGGCACCTCAGGCTTGTCAGGGCCCAGGGACACCACAGTCCTTCCAAGGGCACCGCAAGCCTGTCAGGGGCACCAAAGGCCTGCCAGGGGCACCACAGGCCTAGCAAGGGCACCACTGGCCTGTCAGGGGCACCTCAGGCTTGTCAGGGCCCAGGGGCACCACAGTCCTTCCAGGGGCATTACAAGCCTGTCAGGGGCACCAGAGGCCTAGCAAGGGCACCACAGGCCTGCCATGGACACCACAGGCCTGCCAGGGGCACCACCGGCCTTGCAGGGGCGCCTCAGGCCTGTTAGGGGCACCACGTGCCTGCCGGGGGCACTTCAGGCTTGTCAGGGGCGTTACAGTCCTGTCAGGGCCCAGGGGCACCAGGCCCGTGGTGTCCCTGCTAGGCCTGTGGTGCCCCTGGCGGTCCTGTGGTGCCCCTGTCAGGACTGTGATACCCCTGATAGGCCGGTGGTGCCCCTGACAGGTCTTTGGGCCCCCGGGCCTCAAGGGGGGGGGGCATGACCCATGTGACCCCTCCCTTGGATCCGCCCCTGCATATTCATAACTAACTGATAAGTACAAGCAAGTCGCCTCCGGCCTTACGTACTTTAATATAGAAGCGAGTCGGCTTCTTCAGTATTCAATACCTATATGATTTGCAACATGTCCGTTTTTTTTCTATCTCTTCTCTACAGGGTGTCCCATAAATTCGTTCTCACATAATGTTTGCATGTGAAACAGAGTACTGATTGCGTTTTGATATATTTATGACCCCTCAATGTGCTCCCCATTTAATAGGCAAACACATGAATACATGCTGCGGCATGCCAACCGGCTTGTTTGGCTGCATAGCAGGCTTAAAGTTAACCCAGACTGACTTGAAATGCGCCGTGAGCTCCTCGAGGCTGGAACAGCGCTACGCTTCACCGAGCCTCAATTTCAGCATAACCAACACATTTTTATGAAATTTTGATCCGATGAGGTGCCTGGCATGTGATTTTGCCACAAACGCCTGTCACAGTCTCCTTGCACCGTTTTTAATTGCTTGACATGTGCACTGATGCACTGTCTTGCCTGAAGATGGGCCTACGACCTCCCGGATGCCATTTTCTCCTCTATAATTATGTTCATACTCGCGGTTCGAGTTCAGCTTGAGGGCTGAAACTCCTCCTAGATGTTCTTGGAAAAGCATTCTGCTTCCCAAAACTGTTTCTGGGTTGCCACTTGCAACTTTGTCAACTCCAGAACGCCTATAACCCCACAACACAGTGACCCTGGCCTTTTGCATATGAACATAACGTGACGAAACGGAGACCTCCTCCTTCGCCCTTATGGGGTTGTTTTCGGGTTTGGACGGGTGTTTCATCTCGGACGTGGACTAGTTAGTCCTGATGACCTGGTTGATGTCATCAGCCCTCTGTTTTGTTCAGCCTCAGGCATAACGAAACTCATGTTTGGCCATTTTAAGACGTTTTTGACTCTTTTGTGCCCTCCGGTAAGCAAAGCTTAACCCGCGCCCCGCTGGGGGGGGGGGGGCAGAATCTGCCCCCCTCCCGTTTTTCGCCAATAACTTCTAAACGCGTTACGCCAGCGACGTCAAACTTTCAGTAGCTTATCATACATCAATTTGATACGTTCCCTGAAAATTTGAGCGAAATCCGTCGGAATTTTTTTTTTTGAGAAAATGACGTTTTAGTGACGTCATGTTCGCCATTTTCGCCTCAAAAATTGCAAAATTTCAAACGCCGCTAACATCTTCATTTTTAAAGGAATCAAGACGTAACAAAAAAGGTTATACGTGATTCTACTTTGTCTATCAAATGGCTATCTCGGTTTTTTGAAAATTTTAGATTTTGGCCCAAATTTTTTTCAAAAATCTGACTTTTTTGGGAAAATATTTATTAAATCCAAAATTTTGAGTGTATCGAAAAAAACCGGAATATATGTCAAAGAAGTGGTCTATGTGCACCTACATACCAATTTTTAGAAGAATCGGTTTAAAAAATGTGGAAGTTATTCAAAATTTTATGACGTCACGACACACAAAAATTTTGAAAAATGATTTTTTTTTGGAAGTTCTAGACCTCGGACGGAAACAAAAATAGCACCATTCGATTCGCCGTGAAAAACTGCATCAGATAGACACCTTTTTAGGCCTTAACAATCAACTTCAAAATTTGACCTCACTTGACCTGACCTTGACCTGACCTCGACCTGAAATTCATCCAGAGGTGGTCCATATCACTTATTGAGTGTGCCTATTGAATTCTATGAGTAAAATGACCCATAAAACATGTGTCGCACATGTCCTTTTCTATATTTTGTTTTTGGTGACCTGACACGACCTGACCTGACCTTGACCTTGACCTTTGAATGACATTGTATGCAACGAATATTGTCTTGGTAGTCTAAGAACACGTTTTGGGCAATCAGTCTCAGTCCATTCTTCGGCAACTACGGTGCAAGGCCGATACTGTAGAAACTTGCATCTTGTACCCTTGACCTGACCTCTGACCTACTTGAGCAAAAACATTTGGGCTCTTAAGATCCGCCTTGTTGAGAGCTTTCGATTGCCGTTTTCCCCGTCTTTCTACGACCATCGGTTCGGAAGTTAGACAGGGGGGGCAGAATCTGCCCCCCCCCCCCCCCCAGCAGGGCGCGTATGGCTGAATAGTCCAGCGGGGCGCGGGTTAAGTCACCTTGAGTTATGTACCCCGAAAGAACACTCTTAGACAGCTGGTAATCCATCCTGAAAAGTCTGCTTACCGACTTTGTAACCCTTTGACCTTTTTGATGGCCACTTTGGCGCCACACAGTTTTGGCCACTTGGCTCACTCCTGAGGGCTGACTGGAAAGAGGATAAACTTGCAGTGACTGACTCCCGACAAATCATCGGCGTCACTTGCTGACTGTGCGTCCAGTTAGCGATGAACATTGGCTACAGACTGGTAGGCCTCAATCACCCTCAATCGTCGCGAATGGTCACGTGCTGACTAAATACTGAGACGTACCCGTATCGGAGACCTCTATGTTGCGGCGTTAGCCGTCTCTGTAGGAAGCGGGCTGTATAGCAAAAACTATTTTGTCTACAGAAATTAGCTACTGTGGAGCATATTTCTACCAGCCATGGCAACCACGTAAGCTCAGTTACGAACCAATTTCAGCGTGCCTCTAAGCAAGAGAGCCTAAAAACGTAAAATTTAGGTGAGAACGAACTTATGGAACACCCTGTATATTATAGTCTCACCTATTTTCCTTCTTTTACAGAGCCCAGTTCGTCGACTCCCACCTCTGCGAGCAAAACCAAGTCACACAAGGCGACCAAGAAGTCAGCTCGGGACGCAACCGGCGTGCTCCCCAAAATGTTCGCCTGTCCACATTGTCCGCGGGTGTTTATCAAAGGATACTTCTTCGAGGCGCACATGAAGAACCAGCACAATGACGATACGGCGCCGGAGGAGCACCGTCTGCGCGTCACAGCCGGTTCCAGTCGCGTGGTGCAGATGGCCAGCGGCCTCGTCTCAATCGACCTGCCGCCGCTCACCAAGAAGAAGAGAAAGAAACAGCAAAGCGACGCTGAGGAGACGCCAAAGAAAAAGAAGAAAGCTGCAGTTGTGGGGAAACCCAGGAAGAAAAAGCGTGGCCGGACGGCGGAGGACCGGGCGGCCGAGGCGGCGGCGGTGGTGGCGGCTGCCGACGCCGCTGTCAAGGCAGCGCTGGAGCGGGCGGCGCAGGCGTCCCGGGAGGCTGGCCCCTCGGAGTCGCCGTCCGCGCGCGGCCCGCGAGCCAGCGAGGTGATGGCGGCTCCGTCCAAACGCGCCCGGCCCACCTCAGCGAGCAGCAGCAGTGAGTCCGACTCCGACGGCGGCTCGCCAGCGGAGGTGTTCAAAGCCGGGGCGCGGCCGGCGGCGGCTGAATCGACACCGGCCGCCACGTCGTCGCCCGTTGCTTCGATACCACTACCACCACTGCCGTCAGAACCACCTCCATCGCCACAGACAGCACCGCCTCCCCCACCGCCAGTGCCACCACCGGCGCCGCCACCGCCGGCGGCGACGGTGATGAGGGCGGTCTCGCTACCTCCGCGACCTCGGGACAGTAGATCGCTGCCACCACCTACCTCAAGACCTCCCTGGTCCGCGGGGGTCTCGGCCGGCTCCGGCGGCTCCAACTCACCCAGGCCGTCTCGGATTGTGTTCGACGAGGACGGACAGCCTTGCGCGCCCACTCCGGCTCCGCCCGAACCTCAGGACGTCAAACCAGTGATAGTGTCCGTGGAGGGTGGGGAGCAGGGAAACCGCACCAGGATTGTGTTCGATCAGGAGGGCCGGTCGCGGCCGGCTGCGCCGCCACCTCCGCCAGTAGGTATTGCCACACACGTGCGGCGGGATTCGAGCAGCTCGGACCGAGCGCGCGACGGCCATCGCCGAGACGGTGATGGGAGCTCGGACAGGAACGAAGACCGAAACAGAGATAAAGAGCGTGATAGAGAACGGGAGCGAGAGAAAGAAAGGGACAAAGAACGAGATCGGGAACGGGAGCGAAGCAAAGAACGAGATCGAGAAAGAGAGAGGATCAGGGAACGAGAGCGAGAAAGAGAAAAGGACAGAGAACGAGAGCGAGACCGGCTTCCAAAGAACGGTAAAGACCAGGACAGAAGATCGGGCGAACGCGGGCGTGGCAGAGGTGGGCCGCGCGGTGGGGGTCCCGGCGGAGCCCCAAAACCTATGACAGACCGAACTCCATTCATAGTGGACCGTCAGGGCTGCCATGATCGGCACGGGCCCGTCATGCACGAGCCGTGGCCGGCGCGTGGCGATATGGGCCCGATGGCGCCACATCACTGGCAAGGAAGCCCCCCAATGGAGCGGGGCCGCTGGGGTCGGGGTAGGGGTGACCGGGGTCACGGCTGGGGACCCCGCGGTAAGGGTCACCGCCAGAGGGGCAGGATGTAGCAGCGTGGCTGCCTGACATGTGTTTCGTTACGAGTGCGGGTGTTTCGAGTTTATGGTGGTCGTTTTAAGAGTTGTGCGGCGGTGTATTTGACCCCTTTGCCCGGTGTTCTCCTTTGATGATAGATGGACTTCCTGATCAACGATCTGGTGGAAGCGCATCTCCACCTAAGTGGTTTGTTGGACGCCGTTCGGTGCGGGCGACTGCTGCGGTGCCGAATTTGGGGTGCCTTGGTCCGGTGTAGTTGTGATTCCGTCTTATCCAGGACCACGCGCGTGACAATTGCAGGCTGTGTCGGCTCGATACTGCCTTAATGTGTTGCTCAGCCATAGGCCGCAGCCAGCGGCGAGTATCAGGGATCATTGCATTCTCTGGAGAGGCGTCATGTTTCAATACATCATCTACGTCTGACACTGAGGACGTTCTCACACACTGGTTCGGCACACGACTTTATTCCGTCAGAACTAATCTCCGTCAGTCGGTAGCGCAGCTGCGCGGCCGCTCGCTGGCACAGCACCGCCAGCGGACACCCTGCGTGCTCACCCGGACAGGTAGACAGACACTCACACTCGCACACTCAGCCCGGCACGGCAATGACATCTAAGCAACATAGAAACGGCCCGCAGGCGGCAGGCGGGACGGCTAGACAGGCGAGCGCTCCGAGCAGCCCCCGGGCGCACGCCCGTCCTCCAGCCACGACTTAAACACATCCAAAGGCGCACATCGACGGGCGCCGGCTGCCGCCTGATTACTGGCGACGGCCGCGCGTTCGCTGCGCGCTGCGACACACTGGGGAGAGAGGGGGGGATAGGGGGGAGATAACACTGCACAGTCCTGGGCGAGAGAGCGCGTCTCGCCCTCCGGCCGTCCGTTCACGAATACTGTCCGCGCTGCGCGAGTGTGGAATGAACAACGGTGAGGCAGGCAGTCTGTGCACTGAGAGGAATGTGCGCGACAGTCGGAGAGCGGCGGCGCCACGGCAGATAAGGCCCCAGTTCCTTTGGCCAGCGCCCGTTGCGTCCGGCGGCAGCGGCGGCGGCGGCGCGCGCAGTTGAGCAGCGGGGGCGAGGAGCGGCGCGGCGAGGCGGTCACTCGCGGCGCAGTCGCTTCACGTCGCCGTCTCCACGCTCGGCGGCCAGTGGTCCGTCCAGCAGAGGTCCGTTGGAGAGCAGCAGCTCCGACGGCGCGTCAAACGCGCTCTGCGGCACACGAGCACGGGGCGGTTATAAGAGTCATACGAGTACGACACGCGAGGTAGGAAAGATAATACGAGTTCGCAATCACACACCGAGGGAGGTCAATACGTTTCACGCACACGGTAAGGCAAGACGTGTAAAATTACACATTTTTTTGTAGAAAATATAATGTTCAGCACACGATAAATAAATTTTATTGAAGACAATGGATGGTTGATGATCTGGATACAGAGTACCTTCCAAGAACCCTGTCCCGCATATCCGCCCGCTTTTCAATGCCTGTATTGATTGTAGACGCTTCAAGGGATTCACTCAAATGCACCGTACCGCTGCGTTTTCACGGCATGAACAGTCAATAATTCGACTAGCCTGGACTGGTGCTGAGTGGGGTTTCATTCATTTGCAGGGCTATTCGCAGGCATTGTGGAGTCCAACGGTCGTTTTAATAACCACATAACCAACGTCTCTATTTAGTTTGCTGACGTCATCTTGCTACTTCACATTCAGCATGAAATGAACTATAGAAGCTCGGCAGTTATAACCGGCCACGAGGACAGTGGGGTTGGCGGTCGGACCGTTAACATCCCTTCCACCACACACCGAGTGTGAACGCCCTCACTGCTTTTTACCAGAGCCACTTAGCGGAGACAGATGTAGCGCCAGAGTCCAGCGGACGGAGCCCACAGCGAGCGCATTAGAGCTAATATAACCTGAACCGAACAGTCGTCAAAACGGAGGTCTTCCGGAGAAATCCGACGGTGACCGCTCTCATGGCTAGAGCGTTAGGGCGGACTAACAGCAGCATTCAACGAAGCTATCGGCCACATCAACAAAGTTTCGGCACTATCATAATTACTCTGGGCGCCAAAGTCTTCTGCAGTGGACTCACGACGCCACAGGTTCACCAAAGGTTCACCCCAAGACATCCAACTCTCTGATTGGTCTGTCAGACGAACCACTCAGCCATTCCACTCAGTCAGAGGAAAATTACCAGCCGGAAGCGGGGCGCGGCGCCGAGCCCCCGTTCGCCAGGCCCCCACCGCGCGGCGTGCGTTATTCGTCCGTCACCTGCAGCAGCCACCGGCCATTACCGGCGGCGACAGCGGAGGTCACGCGTCCCGGCTGACGTGACCGGCGGCAGTGCACATTAACCGGCACCGCCCGATTGATGGAGTGCAGCGAGTGCCCTAGGCCGCTCCCACTTCAAGTACGATGGCACCGGGAACTTTACTGAACCAGAAAAGTAATATTTGGAGAAGTGTAAGTGATCTCGAGACAACGAAAGAAACAACGATTGCCAGATACCCGTGGCTTAAAACAATCATTCTTCGACAAGAGCATCGACAAACAATCGTGCCAGTACACGATCGTTCTTGTCCTGCGAGGCATGCCGTGCAGGGAGGACGTTAGTCTCAGCTATAGAAGCGACCGGAGACGGCTATCGGCGTGGCGTGTCTGCCGCCAACGGCCAATCACAGGCCGACACAGCTCTGACGTCACAGGTAGAGGTTGCAATCCCGGGATCGGGATCCCGGGATCCCGGCGGGATTTCAATCCCGATCCCGATCCCGAAATTTCGCCAATCCCGGGATCCCGAAAAAGTATGTTTTTCACCAAAAAATGAATGCAGCCGCTGCACCAGTCATGTTCAAACTGTTCATAGTACTGCGTGACATAAAGCAGAGAAACTATTTAGCTGGCACCCTGTCTCGGCCGTCCACAATCGACCGTGTTGGTAGCTCCTGAGGATCACTCACAGTGGTTAAGCCGCTTAAATACGTACGAAGAAGCTCACTGATTCAGACGTTGAGTACGGTAGAGTGGAGCTCTCCCTGTCAGTGACTCTGCCCTCAAAGCGACTTTGGAGCATAGTCTGAGAGAAATTAGTGATAAAAGCGGAACCGGAAGGAGGTGAAGTGACCAAGCGACGTCGTGAAAATATTGTGAAATAGGGAGCTGCCAAATTTGGCTTACACTGATCGCGAGTTTTACAATAGACAGACTTACCAGCAATGGCTTAAAACTGTCATGCCAAATAGCGTAGACGCAGAGTAAATGAGGCGTATAGGTGTCGGAACCTGTCTCAATGGCGAGGCAGTAAACGCACTGGTCGATGCACAGCAGTAGTGGCGGAACACCTTCAATTAAGGGGGGGGGGGGCACTGCCGACTTTTGGTCCCATTCTTTCCATGCAACGCCCATAGGGCTAATGTTAAAACTCCCAAATCAAAGGGGGGCACGGTGCCCCGGTGCCCTCCCCGTTCCGCCGCCTATGATGCACAGTTTATCAAGGCCAGTTGGGAATAAATGCTAGTTAAATTGAAACGCTTTCTTCACAAATTCAATCGTTTTTAATGCAAAGGACATGGGCTAAGGATGACTTTTGGTTGCCTCTTTGTTTGTGGTAAGCTAAAAGACGCAAAATCTGTCAGTAGGAAATCATTATTACGACCTATGGTGACAAAACCGGGATCCCGGGATCCCGAAATAAAAACTTTCGGGATCCCGGGATTGGCAAAACGTTCCGGGATTGCAATCTCTAGTCACAGGTCACACCGCCCCCAGGGAGAGGGCTCCCACAGTGTGGCGCGACACGCGCCTGTCGGCAGCGGCACTTCCGGCCGGCACGGAATGGCAAGCTGCGGCGGCCGCGAGGGCAGAAACAATGCAGCGATATCACCAATACAAAAAACAGTCTCTTCGAGAAAAATGAACAAAGAAAGCACCAGTATCGGTTTGTTATCAGCGTACCTGAATATCATTCCGAATCCTGACCTAGTAAAATGAGACGTCTTTTTCTTCTCATTGCCTCCAACCTCCAATTCAGCCATCCCAGTGACTGCTTAGCACTGTCAGGACCCCCCCCCCCCACCTTTCGTGCCTCCTTTCCCCCTCCCTCCCTCCTTTCTCCTGGCACCATTTCTTAGCTCTTTCCATTCACCCCTCCTCGTCCCCCTCAGTTCCTCACCTCCCGCTCGGCGGCAGTCTGCGTGGGCTGCTGGGGCGCCGGCTGGCCGCTGCGGTCGCCCATCACGGCGATAGGCATCTCGCCCGTGGCGCGCGCCACGCGGTTCTCGATCAGGTAGAACATGTACTCGTCGTACAAAAGTCGGATCAGGTGGAACGAGCCGAACGAGGCGGCGCTGCGCAGTGTGAGGTCGCGAATCACCATCGAGCTGGGGGCACAGAGGGAGGGTAAGGTCAAGACGCTATATTAAAGTTTAAGAAATCTAAAATGAGCGAGCATAAGCGACGACCATTAAAGTGAGGTATCCTAGGCAAAGCGGTTACAGCGATTACTTGCATTAGAAACAAATAAAATAAGCATTAATGCGGTAATTTACCGACTATAATATTCATTGCGATCCGAGCTAGTCTATGCAAGTTACCGCCTTTCACAGTCGCCTGTTGATGCTAGTCACCATAAATTCGCCACCGTCGCCGACAGGTGGTTTCTCTTTCCTCCTACCCAACCCACCCACTCAGCGAGTGATTCTCTCACCTGTAGAACGACCACTTGAGCAGAAACTGGCGCGCCGCCTTGGGGAACTCGGGTTTGTTCTCGAACGGCTTGAGGACGGTGGTGACGACGTCCTCCAGCCAGGAGGCCCACTGCTCCAGCGAGTTCTGCTGCTGCAGCGTCACCTTGAAGTCGGCCTCCAGACGCTGCACCAGGCTGTCGTCGCACTGGCACACCCAGGACGCCTGATGGGGGAGGGTGAGTGCAGGTCAGGTCACTGTTACATCCAAGACGCCTGACGTGAAATGGGGGTGACGGATCAGGTACGTACAGATCAGCTTGGGGCACTGGTACACCCAGGACACCTGGCGGGGAAGAGGGAGGTCAGGTCAGGTCACTGGTAAAAGTGGCGCCTGATGGGAGGAAGGGTGACATGTAAGGTTAGGTCAGGTCACTGACGCACCCAGGACACCTGAAGAAGGGACAGACCAGGTCAGCAGGTCAGATCACCTAAGAGAGGCTTGGACAGTCGGGTTAAATCACTGAAACACCCATAACACTTGGGCGAGGGCAGGCCGCCCATGCCAAATGTCAGATCAAGTCAAATCAGCGAAACACACACTGAAAGTCTGGAAAAGTAAGAAAAGTTAAGTTCGTGATCCACGTATGCTGTATGTCATCCAGCGTGTCAGTGGCCGGTGAGACAATCAACAGACCAGACTATGGCACCGGCAAACAGCGCTTATGACGTAGGTCATTTGTGAAGTACCCTACACAAGTCTCAGCCCACACATCACACACTAAAACACATACATACATTCTCCCCCTATACACACACATTGAGCCGCGACCTCACATGGACGGCCCAGACGGCTGGCCGGCCGGCCGGTCGGCGCCATCGACCCGTTCATTCAGCGTCCACCGCCGGTGACGGCGGCGGCGGCGGCGTCATCGATCTCTAGCGCCGGCGGAGGCGGCGGTCTGGTCGCCGGCGGACTGGACTGGCTCGACCGCCGCCACCACCGGCCGACGCCGTACTTCACACCATGTGATAGAATCTCATGGATAAGGAGAAAAGTGTGATTGCCACTGGGGATGGTGATGGGTTGATGAATGTACCAGCCTGTGCAAATGAACACGCAGATTAACAGTCTCAAATACCGTATGTGATTAGACTGAGACACAATGTGTCTCAGACACTCGTGTCATGAGTAGTGGTCAACAGCTCCCTCGACCTCTAATACTCATTGCACTATGAAAAGTCTATGTACGGCCAGTCAGCGTCAGACCCACCAACCACCTGCACGAGTCACACAGTCCATGGTGGAGCGGACAGTCTCGAGTGACACGAAAACGTATGGAGTGTGCTTGGAGCACGGGTCGATGGGGGTCTGGTGTTATGATATTCTAGCAAACGACGTAATTTGAACGTCGGCCTGCGCGGCATGCGTTCAGGTCAGCAGCTATCTAACCACAGGTCACAACTTAGCCACGGTACGGGCAGTTTTAGTCTCGCCCATTATTACCCAGTCACTATTTTCACATTTACGATTGTTAATAATTTGGTCACATATTTTGCCGCCACAATAATTCTAACCACCGGGGCAGGTCCACCTTAGTCCACGGAGAGCCCAAGGCTTCTGGTAAGGTATGAGCTGACGGGGAACTCCACGGTCGCTACCGCCCGCTGCGGACCGTACGCTAGAGCCACACCCCGCCACGGTACGGGCTCAGTTATTACCTGCGGGCTCAAATAGAACCAGCCAGTCGGCAAGTGTCACAACAGCCATTAGTGCAACGCAGCACAATAGCTAGGTACCGGGAAACACCGCCAGAAGGACTGCGTAACTGTAAGGCGGGCCTAATTAGACGGTTCAAGGCAGAAAAAACTGCTGAGGACGGCAGACTCAATAAGGCTGTGGAAATATAAGACGCAGAATATAGCTTGGAAAGCCAAAGTCACAATATAAGCTTCAACAATATGAAAGTACGTTAGAGGGGAGAGACCAACACGATGTCGTCCGTATGTAACCACAATTGTCACACCAATAGGTCACACCGCTATCCGCTTTTCATCACCTATTATAGCCACAAACACCGCCAATACTGATTCTTCACCAGACCCACAACTACACTGGCGACATTATCAGTGCGTAAACCAGTATAACGCCTTTTGTGGCGACTAACGGAGCGAGCGAGAGGGTGGGCCTTGCGCGTGCGAAATTGCGAGGGGGTACCTCCAACTGACTTGTGCACGGCACCTTACTAACCGGTCTCTAGCGATGTGCCAAATTTGAGCACAATCGGCCCAGCCGTTCTCGAGATCTGGAAGCGGCACCCTGCACGTGCGCACGTGCAAAATGGGTCCCAACTGACTTGTGCACGGCACCCTACTAACTGCTCCGTAACCGTGTACCAAATTTGAGCGCAATCGGTCCAGCCGTTCTCGAGATCTGGAAACGACCCCTGCACGTGCGCACGTGCAGCAGCACCCCAACTCTGGCACATGGATATGCATTGCCTAGTGGGTGCCTACCTACATGCCAACTCTCAGCGCAATCGGCCCAGTAGTTACCGAGATATTGCAACAATTACAAAAGTGACACCTCTTCGTTTTGCACGTGGCACGTGCATAAGGGGTCACCCACATGCATCGGGAATAGTCCAATACTTGGTAGAAGGAATGAAGCTACCCCACAAAATTACCGCATGTAAATCGGTCAAGTGGTTGCTGAGATATAAGCCTCGCAAAAGCGTGACCACGGCCGGCCGGCCGGCCGGCCGCTCATACTCAGAAATTTCCGTTATTCTACGTAAGACTCCGCTCGCTTCGCTCGCTCCGTAACCATCTCCACCTCTCACACCCGCCTCACCTGTTCCTGGACGTTGACAAAGTCGACCCGGTTCAGGTCGGCCAGCATCTGCGAGATCTGTCCCGAGTTTTGCAGCACTGCGCGCGCCGCCTGCGCCAGGTGGTTCAGAGACGTGTAGCGGCGCAGCGTCTGCGCGAACGCCGCCACGGCGGCCAGCTTGACGCGCACCATGCCGGCCGGCGTGCTCTCGGTGGCCGAGCGCAGCCAGCCCTCCAGTGTCTTGGCGAAGTTACGGATCGCCTGCGTCAGCGTGCCTGTCGGGAGAACGGGGGATGGTAATGGTATTGCGGCGCCGACGCACTAACGGCATGGAGAGGGGGGCTGGACATCACTATTTTAGATCGGAGCCATCCCAGGCAGGCACTGACTCGAGCTCACTCTAGGTCACACCTGGCTAAACACACCCAGCGCAATAACCTTAGCCATAGGCTGTTGCTATACTGGCATACATCCACACAATGCCGGTATGACGCAGGCACCTGTCAATATCCTCAGACACAGTAGACAGCCACCTGGTGCAGAAAATCCCACGTAGCTACGATCGGTATCCCACAAAAAAGGCGGTAAACATCGTTCTACATCACTAAATGCGCCCACTTTGCCACGATTAGTCGGCATTCATTAGTAAAATACCGGAACCGAGTATCGATTTGCTTCAGCTGATGAACTGCTCCACGATAGGTTCATTTTTTCCGACTTGACCGAAACCAATGCAGCCCCCCCCCCCCCCCCCCGGCACTCACTGGGAATGGCACGCAGAACGTCCGGAATCAGCACATCGACCAGGTTCTGGTAGAAGAGGTAGTCCATCGTCTTCACATAGTCCTGCACGGGCGGCCAGTCACAGAGCTGGTGCAGCACCCGCTTCGGCATGATCTTCTCCGGGTCATCATCCAGCAGGTCCTCGCTGTTGTTGGCCGACCTCCAGAACTGCTGCCAGATGATCTCCACAGAGGAGAACTGCAGGGTGACCACGGCGTCGAGAAGCACCTCGCAGTGCTCGCGGTAGATGGAGGTGAAGTTGGTGACGTCCTCCTCTGTGACGCCCTCCGGCAGGGTCTGCGCCGTCAGGTCGATGTCGGGCACATTCGGCACGGCGCTGCTGCTGTCGCCCAGGTACTGCTGCTCGAGAGGAGAGGGGGGAGGGGGTCAGGTCGGCAAGGTGCGGTACTGCTGCTCGAGGAGAGAGAGAAAGGGAGAGAGAGAAAAAAGAGATAGAGAGAAAGAGAGAGAAAGAGAGAGAGAGAGAGAGAGAGAGAGAGAGAGAGAGAGAGAGAGAGAGAGAGAGAGAGAGAGAGAGAGAGAGAGAGAGGAGGGGTCAAAGGTCAGGTCAGGTCAGGTGAGATCAGGCCAGGTTGACGTCACGTAACTTCAGTAAGGGGAGGAAGAAAGCGGGACGCATTTCTGACCCACTGAGGGAAGACCCCAATGTGGATGTCCTAAGTCCTAACACCATGTAGCAGTAATTTCGTTTTGCATTTCCATACCACGTGGCACGAGCCCTTTATAATGAATACGAATCAACATGCATGAGACTAGGCAGCCTACAATCTACTTAAAAGGGGGCCATTATTTGCAATAAGCTGTCCTCTATGTCGCTTTCGGACGGCTGGCATTGTTCCGGAGGTTATACTATTACTCATGCACGTTGTTAACCATCAAGAAAAGACTGCACAACAAAGCGGCGAGCGTATTCGTAGTCCCTGATAATACCAACAGAGTTATTTGGCATGAGGAGAGTCACATTGGCTTATCACAAATCTCTCGAACATGACCCGTGCTTGTAAAGGTCCGAAACTGAGACAGGAACCCTGCATTCCCAAATACAACAAATAACTGAAACGTCACTAAGTATCAAACACTTACCATCGAATACGCCAATCTCATTCGACAGCTAGCCGCGCGACGAAACCGCTCTAGCTCATTCTATCGCCTTTGAAGTGCTAAATGGAGCAGAAACTTGCAGCAGCTTTCCACCGTAGCTTCTCATAACAAACCTCGCTACCCGGCCGGCCCTCCGTTCCCTCGGCGCCTTCCCTTTCAGTCTCAACCTTTCCTACCTGTACCTGAGTCTGGTGCATGTCAATGTTGCCGTCCTGGTACTCCTCTCTGCGCGCGCGGCTGCCGCGGCCGCCGCTCTGTCGACCCATCAGGGACACCTCCTCTGTGAGGTTGTTGAGCGGCGACTCCGGTTTGACGCGGATACCGTAGTAGTGGTACTTGGAGTTGCCGCTGCGGAGACACAGGCACAGAGCGGGGTGAATTAAATGAACGAAAGAAGCATTTTGCTACTGAAGAGGTTTACAACAAACCTTCGGTTATCGAAGCTCTCCAGTCATACCAGGACGTACTAGTAATAAAAGTAAGCATACAAGTAATCCGAGGACTACATGCTGCTTCATACTCTGTCCAATGCTGTATGTCTTACGTTTGGACAGATGTTTAGACTTGATACGTTATATCGGTTTCAGAGAACCAGACTATGGTAGCTCCTTTGGGAAACGGCACGGAGTCTAACGTTTCAAGACCATTAAATATACCACTTCCTGCGGGTATATCATATTCTAGTAAAAGCCCTTTCATGATCACCTTGCATCTCAGTTACCTTGGTTACTTCCAACAACATACTGATTTTCCGCAAACACAGATCCAATGTCTGCAGCGCCGCTCATATATACACGCACTCACTGACTAGCTGCATTCTAACTACATTCTCTCATTCCCTTTCAGCTAACACTTTGCCGTCCCATTTTCTCTCCCCGTCCCTCAGTCACTCCTTCCCTGGTGCCTCACTCAGTCAATCCTCTCCCTCACCCCCTCACGCTCTCCCTCTCCTTGCGCTCTCACCGAGTGCCCAGCCGTCGAGTGCGCAGTCCGTAGAACACCTGGCGGATCAGTTTGCCGAACGACGCCGCGTTGACGGGGTCGAGCTTGTTCTCGGCGCAGTGGCGCAGGTAGTGGCTGTAGAGTGTGGAGCGGGGCAGCGACACGCCCTCCGCCACCTCGTAGTTGTCGTTCAGCCATTGGACCTGCGACACCCGGGTAGCGTGATAGACATATACACACAGGCGGAGGGTCGGCCACGGAAGGCTGAGACTTTGACACAAAAGCGATTCACTCTCAGGGCGCAAAACCGCCGAGTTTAGCATCAAGCGCCGCCAGATTTACACTCCAGTCACCGGCAGGATGTACAGACATCAGAGGCTCGTCATAGCCTCTGCACAGGACGCCTCTGGCAGCCCGACACCATGCGGAGAAAAGTGTGCGAGTCATGCGCATGCGTCGGTGGTCTCAAATTTCGACACGGCACACAGAGGACTCACCACCGGTGTCCGTAACGTGTGGCTGCCGGCTGTACACGGGCGGCTGTACACGGGCGGCTGTACACGGGCGGGACAGTACCGGGGTACGGGGACAGACGGACGAGGCGGTACAACCGGTACAGCGGGTACCGGAGGAAATATAAAAAAAACATTGAATGCAGCCCACGGAAGAAAATTACCGCCATAACACCACCACTAGCATGGGCGGGATGGACGGCACTTCCCAGCTCAATTATATCCTTTGTGGCTAGCACATTCAAATTTATCCCCAATGCTGAGCGACGATCAGCACATTTGAAGCCATTACACCCAGTGATTTGCGTGTCCTATGCTGGGGAGAGTGGGGAGCCGTGGATAGCCCAGTGCTACAAAGATTGTAGCACACAAAAAGGTGAAGCGTGTGACAAGGTAAGGCGTCCAAAGCCCATTCTGGTAAGGAAGCGTAAGATTTATTTGGTTTGGATGTGAATAAACAAAAGGGAAAGGTTGAAATGCCTCTTCAAAATTCAAGGAACAATAATTTGCATATTCGCGAGAAAAAGATCTAGCTCTAATACCTTGCATACGTTTCACAATGTATGCATTTGCCAATTAAATGCGCTATAAAACAAGAGCCCAAGTTACGGTTTCATTTCCCGTAATTTACCTGAGGGCTGACCCATGCATAAGCCTGACTTTATGCTCGTCTACCCGGCAGTTACTGACAGCTTACGTTCAAACGTCACTTAATGTATGATGAAGAAAGGGACACGTAAAAATAGCACACAAGGTGAATACCGTCTACGTCATAATAGGGTGTATGTGAAAACGTCCGTCTACATAATAGTGTATGAAAAAATGTCGAAACGACTACAGGGTAAAAGAGCAGGGCTTCAATGCAATAACCTATTATACATAATATACATTTATACATGTTGGAGATGGTGTTCGATTCTACTCAACTATGTGGTATCTAGAGTTTATCGCTACTCATTCTACCGGTGTTATTGATAAAATACGAGCCGGTTCTACGCTAAAACCCTTCGTGCTTTATGACCAAGCGAAGAAAGTCCCGAATAGGTTAGTCAAGTAGCAGAACCTCGAAGAAAGTGCAACCGTGTGATATCGACCACCGGACCAAACGGACCAGGTCGGACCCGACCAAACGGACCAGACCAGTCCTGTCTAGACCAGCGGCGGACGGACCACCAGCTGCATGCCACGCGGGCGGTTTGGAGGCTGTCCCGAGTGAGATACAGAGAGAGCGAGAGCCCAAGACAGACAGACTAGCCCCAGACAGAGTATCAGGCAGTGGTTAGTGGTCGCTCGGCGGGTTCGCCCGCACGGGAGCGAGTTACCGGGCGGAGCGGGACGGCGCCGGAACACTTACACAGTTCGCGTCATACGACTGGAACAGAAGAGACGGGAGGTCAGTGCCGACCTCGGCCACACTAGCTGTGGGGCGGGACGGAGAGATAGCGACGGCGACCGGCCTGGCAGTGAGGAACAAACTAGGGTAAAGAATGGCGCATTATCAGGCAAGGAGGAGGCTACTGCAGCGGTATGTCGAGCATCACAGGCGTGAGGTGGAAAGACAGGACTGCCAGGCGATACTGGCTAATAATGGGTAGAGCGTCCAAAGCCACTGCGATATAATTGCGCATATAGGCTGTCTGAGTGGCAATACGGGATGCAGTCGCTGGCAGACTGGCCGAAGCAAATCAATCTCCACCGACTGCTGACCGGTCAGTGCAGCGGAGCGAGTCATCCACTAGCAGACTACCACCGCCGGCCTCTGCCGTACCGTCGGTCCAAACACGCGATTCAGCAGCAGTAGGCCCAGTACGTCGTCCTCTTGTGGGTCGTCCTCGTCCCCCTCCTCCGCGGCGGGGTCGGCGGCGCCGCCTAGCCGGCCGGCGGCGCCCGTCGGCGGCGCGCTGTTGTTGATGATGTACACTTTGGTGTGCTCGGTGACCAGAGGTGACGGCTGTAGCGGCGGACACGGCGGGGCCGAGGAAGGCTGCGCAGATGGAGAGGATGGAAAAGGAGGGCGGACAGGCCGGCCGCCGGTCAACGAGCGCTCAGAGCGCACACAAACATACAGGGAGAGCATACAAAGTAGCCGTACATACATACACACAACACACCACAGCAATCAGTCACCAAAGCCGATTTATTACTTCACTTACACACTACACTATAAAATAGACCAGTTCGGAACTGCACAAACCTTAGAAATTACTTGAGGACGTTGGCTGGTTGAGGGCAAAAGCTATCATTCACATCCTAGTACCATAGTGTAATAAATAACCATAGTACCATATTTATTCATTACAATATGCTAGTACCGTGGGTTATGGGTACCTAACGTTTACTTTGCTCAAGAAAACTGTAGATCTGGACTGAATGTACTCGCAAATGGACAGGTCATCATTTAGACATGAAGACATATCTTGAAGTATTGACAGTATATAAAAGAAAATGAGAAATTAATACGGCGCCACATATTCTACCAGCAGCAGGCAGTAGAATGAACGGCGCATTACTTTTCGACTGTCCTATCCAGAATCGTTGTGTTACACCCGCTGAATGGCATACAACACAATACACATTAACATAGAACGCAACCAATGCCAGAAATTTAGAACGTGGAACACGAACAAAGGATAGAACAGAGAACATAAACACCGAATGGAACATAAACCACACATAACATAAAATAACACCACACCAAACAAAAATACTTCTACGACGCCACTGAACAGAAAGAACAAACAATCACAATACGACGAAACAAGCCTCGACTCATCATCATCACAATTTTGTTTGAAGAGTAGGTAGCAACGCATTGAACTTCGAAAATAGCTCCCAAATGTTCTAAAAATACTGGTGGTGAATGATGGATCTACCTCTTAGCACTGAAACTCTTTGACTTTTACTTTCGACGCAGCTCGGTCGACACAACTGAACCTAATGCGTGTTTGGACACAATGACCTCAGCTCTCCCACGCTTCAAAGTTCTCGCTAACTTTCAACGCTCGCTAAGGATAAAGTTTCAATGCTACCTGTAGCTCGGAAGGTCCTGGCACAAACAGGATGAATAACACAAGCCGTAAGTCTATAACAGGGCTGTTTTGAAGACAGAGCCACAATTTGGTACCACCGACCTACGCCCGGGAACCCATCAGCAGCTATCGTCCGCCTTCACATACCGTGGCTGGAGAGACCCGGGTGGCCTGCGCCAGCGGGTCAGACGCCTCGGCAGCAGACGAGGAGGCCGCCGCGGCGGCCGGCGGCTGCTGCTGCTGCGGCGCCGTGGCCATCATGTAGGTGACCGTCTGCTGCTCGCCGGCCTGCGCGTCACCGGCAGCCTGCTCCTGAGCACGGTCGGCGGTCTCAGAGGGGACACCGGGCGGGGCAGGGGCGGACCCGACCAGCTCACACCGGCCCCCGCACCGGGTCAGGACAGAAACGGACCGCACAAAAACACCGGCTCTGCACCGCAACAGGAAACGGATACCCAGAACCGGCCGGCCGATCGGCAAAATGAGAAATCCGATACGGGTCAGTGCGCTGAAGGCATCACTGGTTTTATTTATTTATTCAACGATGACCACATGAAACTCCTGCATTAATCATTCAGTAGCGGTCCATTTCTGTCCTTTCGGTGGAAGCCAGGGGGCTGGGCCAGTCGGGTCCGAGCGATCACGGCGGCGGCACTTCTAGCTGAGCGGGTGAGCAGTCGAAAACCACACCACACACACGCACACTCACAGAGCGGTGGAGTCACGCCGGCAGGGCACGGCAGGGCAGGCTGCGGCGGCGCGTGTCGGCCGGGCGGCGCGCGCACTCACACACGGTGTCACATCGACACGCACACACATGGGATGGACAGTCTGCTGGTCAGTACGGAACCCAGGCCCCAGGGGCGGCAGAGATACAGCCCGGTGCCAGTACCGGCAGAGCGGTACAAACCCACTAATTAAATACATTTTTTTCAGATTACATTGTGGCTTCTCTAATAATATCCACGAACTTTCTGCAGTTTGACACACCAAACAAAACGGAATTGGACAATATAAGACTAAAACGCTAGTCAAAATATATAAATGTCTACTCGTTAGTAGAATATGTCTATCATCCTCGACATAAAGCTCATACAAGCTCGAAATACATCGAACTTGATTAGGTACCTAACGGAAACAAGCAAGCTCGAAACACATCGAGCCCGGTTAGCTAATAGTCACCGTAAACTTACTCCATCTAAGCACTAACTCCCCTCCACTCTGTCGGCTAGTCCGAATCCCCTCTTCCCCGGGGTCGCCCCATGCCCGCACGCCCCGTCACCTTTCCCTTCCCGGCGGTCCGTACCGTCTGCTGACTGCCGCGCGCCGTGGTCATAGTCAGAGAGTGCGTGTCGGCGCCCTCGACGCGCGGCTGGTGGATCATGTACGTGTTGCCGGCAGTGATGAGCTGACCCTGCGTCACCACCGGCTGACCCTGCCGTCGGGACACGGACGGGAGTCAGACAAAGCAAACCAGACCCCCGGAGGAATACAGGAACTGAGGTGGACAGAGGGCGGAGAGTGACCGGTGTCAGACCGTACACGATATAGGGACAAATTGTACACACAGCTTACACAACGGGTTGGATTATCATGTCGCCAAGTGAGCGAGGTCGCAAATGGCGCGAGATCATAATTGGAAAGCCCTGGCAATAAGGGAGCATGCAGCTTCCCATAGAAAGACAAATAACGGTACCAAATGGGTACCGAAGAGCTATGATACTTTCCAAACTAGAGGCCACGGATGTCACCTATCGGGACGTTTACTATCCCGACTTCAGATAGTGCCGCCGGATGTATGGAGACTGACTCAGTATTTCGCCGGTCGGCCCGGATGCCGAGCTCGCCCTGCGCTCTCACCTGGGAGCCGTTGGTGTAGAAGGCGCCGCCGTCGCCCGTGTACATCGTGACCGTACCGTCGTTAATGGCGGCGTATACAGCGGCGGGGTAGGCCCTGAGGGGAAGGGGGACGTCAGTTCGGACAGAGAACACAGCGACAGGGTAGGGGGCCGTCAGATCGAGCATAGACAGAAGGTGAGACAGCCGGGCAGGGTAGGCCTGAGGGGCGCCCGTCAGATCGGGCAGACAGAAGGTAAGATATTGGCCTCGGTCAGCTGATTTTAACTAGCAAATCCGCACAGATTTAGCACATTATCGGGAACATCAGTCACTTAACTTAAGCCCAATGTAAACTCTCTCCGAAAAAGCCTTTCCAAAGACTGGAGTCGCCGCTAGCAGCGCTGCAGAGCTGACCGGTAATAGGCGGGTCAATGTCCCCGGGTCACGCGAGGGCCGTTCAATCCGAGGGCCCCTCCCCCTGCCACGAGGCCGCTATCTACTGGGGACATTCTGACGTCCCGGGTCGCGGCGGGGTCCGACGACCTCCAGCGCCGTGTCGCATCAATTTGTGACGACGTAACGCACACATGGGGGAGGCTCGATAGCGCGACACGCGAGGGCGAGTGAGTGACGGCGTTCGGGCGACACACGGAGCTCGAGTGACAGACCTCAGACGGCATACCAAGGGAGGAAGGGAGAGAGGGCCCGCGCCGGCTACCTACAGAGTGACGGAGAGGGCCGGCCGAGACGAGGCCCCGATCCACACTTACAGAGCAGCCGCCGACAGTCGCAGTCTCTGCGAACAGACAGAGGCGGCATGCCAGAGCCAGTGCCGGTGGGCCGCGACCGAGAGAACATGCAAACTGAGGAAACGCTCCATTGAAACGAAACAGCTGACCAAAGGTGGCCGGAAGTTTAACCAAAGGCATAAAACAGTCGACTACAACACGTCTAGCCATCGATAAATCAGAAACAGATCAAACATTATAGGTCAGACAAATCAAGGCAACGCATCTCGCGCATTTGGTGAGTGGAATAATGAACTAGCTAAGTTTCACTAAAAAGCGGTTAATAGCAAGCAGACAGCTGGGTGGCAGAGGCAAAGCTGGGTCGAAAAGCGGGCGGGATAATACAATCAAGCAGGCGGGACAAGTAAGAGGTGCGTGCCGTTGGACCATCGCCCAGTATAAGCGGCGGTCACGAGCGGGTTCACGCCGTGGACAGACACAGACAAGCTCGGAGAGACAGTTGAGCCGGCTATGGGCAGAGCAGAGTAGCAGCGCAGGGGAGGCGGCAGGCGGGGCGGGTACGAGCGGGCAGCAGCAGGGCGGCCGGCCGGCCGGCAGTCCGCAGCCGCCGGCCGGCCGGCTCGTTAGTCACCAGCGGCGCATTTACATCTGTCCGTTAGTGGTGGCCGTGTAGAGGCTGGTGTCGGCCGTCGAACCATCTACATACTGTTGCTGCACGTAGCTGGCGGTGCCGACGCCGGCCGCCACGGCCGTCTCTGAGGCCGCCACGGTGCCGCCTTCGCTGACTGCCGGCACAGACGGACGGGGTCGATGATGGCCACGTGCCTTCCGTGCGGCGGCGGTGCGCACACCGCACACTCAATAAATCACCAGCGGCGCCGGCGGCACTGGCCGCGGACACGCAGCCCACCGCCGGACACATTCACAGGGCACGGGCAGACGGCGGCTGTCCTTCCCATCGGGCACAGACAGAATCAGACACACACGCACACACGGGACACGGAAACAAGGGTAAGTCACTGATAACGAACAGCTGACACGCAGTATTTACAGCAGCAGTCTGAGGGGAATTGCGTGCAACGCCAACTCTAATAAACAGTGAGACTCTTGGATTCTGGTTCTTAACAAGCTACTTGCCCCATCTCCAGCAGTAACGAGCTCCAAAGAACACTTTAAAAACGCCGCTACCTATTGCACGTTCTAAGAACGATGTGGTACTAAAAAACAGCCCTCTGACACGTATGTGAGCTTCGGATGAAGACGCAAACACAGGCACACAACACGATAAGTCACTTTGAGTCTGTTGGAACTGATAGTCATCCCGAGAACCAGCAAACACCTCACACATTCACGAGTATCACCCAAGTCCCAGCCCCATGAATCTCTCAGTCACCCGCAGTACGACCTAAACGGGGACACAGTAATTGGCCCACCAGACATGAGTAGGGGAGGGTTAGGGCCCGCAGGCAGGGGCGGCACCCAGGAACCAGCCAGCAGCTGTTCGGCTCCCATCCTGCCCCGCCGACGGGACCTGACCGCCGACCGATGCGCCCACCGAGCGCGATCAAACTTACATCGGAAGCATGACATGACACCGCCGATGGCGGCCAAATAATGCGATTTTTGAAAGAAATCTGATCATCATCTGTCCGATCATGAAATTTGATCAAATGCATCAGGCCTGCAGGCAATTGCAGAGTGATCTAGACTTTTAAAGGCAAACTATTTGTTATAAGTAAGCGCTTCGCAGCCGGAAAACGCGCACCAGACGCATAGATCAATTACAAAAAATTAAAATCAGAAACTTATCAAAATACCTTTACGCCGGGTGCAAGGACACTCTCGCCGTAAGAAAAGGATAGGTAATCGCAATGGCGAACAGACGCTCAAGATCAATTACAAAACTCCCGGGAATAATCAAAGCTCCTCACTGCCGGGTTCAGCGCCAGGATTGTCGCTGTTTCGCTACCGGTACCTGATATTCCCACTGCCAATTTCTAGCGAAGTTCCACCAACAGGGCGAGTACGTTCCGACAGCTTTCACATCATGTCGATCGTCATTAGGTACAAAATCTCCAAGTGAGACCACGCTAGCTAAACGAGATGTTCTCCAGTCGCATTCGGACCCAATATCGTTGCTCCGAACTCCTGTTTCTGATTGTTTCAGGGAGACGGCTGCCGGTGAGCCCCACCGATCACAACGGCTGTCACGGCCATCACATGTAGCCGAGCCGGCACGACGTCGCCGCACGATCGAAACCCCTCGAAGTACGGCACAGCCAGGCTGTCAGAATAACTCGATCTTGCGGTAAAGCCACGCGGTCGGCTGCAAATAGCCGCTGAGACCAAGTATGACGGCTTACACGAGCATCACGGTCGAGGAGTTCAACAAAGAGTGGAATAAAGTTGTGTAATAACTTCTGTCCGTCTACCTGGCATATAAAAGTATTATATTCATTATCCATATTGCAGATCAGCTCCCGTGACCCAGTTACCTGAAGCTGTCCCATCCATCATCTCAAAAATTAGGGCCACGACTTCATTCAGTCCGCTGACGGACATTACCAATTAGTCCTAAACAGCAGCCACCGGCCAGTCTGTACCCATTCGTCACAATCGGCCGTCCAGTTCGCGCTGAGCCCGCGCCGACGGTGGCCAGCCTTTGGCACGCGACGCCCCCTAACCTACATTGGAGCCATTCACGGTCCCCCCCCCAGGCACGCGCAACCTCCCCTCCCCCCGGCACACACACACACACACACACACTGCTCGAGGAGCTCTATCGAACGGCACCGGGCGCTCCAATAGACACAGTCAGCTGTACCCGTGTGTGTGGGGGAGGGGGGAGGGGGAGGGGGAGGGGGAGGGGGAGGGGGAGGGGGAGGGGAGGGAGGTCGAGCTAGGACGGATGCAGAGTCACAAAAGGTCAGGGATTTGGTAGACATCAGACACCATCATAGCAATGTGGTCCAATGCACAGCCGAGTCTTCCGACAGTGTCATCTCAACAAGCACGATCGTGATACTGCACCCGTTGGCAATAAGGCCATACGAGGTGTAAGAATCTTAAAAGCAAAACGACGGCATGAACAGTGTGCTATGAATTATAATTCCGACACTGAATTCCAAACTTAATAAAATAAGTAAATGTTTAACCACCAAATGCACGCAAGGCACAGAACGAGGGGTAAACACGAACGACCTTGCAACGAATAAATACCAGGGGCGCGGTCCTTACAGACATCGACTTTAGTAGGTCAGAACCCACGTTCCCCTCTCACACACACACCGACCCACCCACACACGCACATTACCCGACACCCTCAGTCAACTCTCATCTCCCCTTCCACATACACACAAACCCCCTCCACAATATACACATATGCGCTCTTATCTCTCGCCCCCCCCCCCCCACTGCAACAGACCCCGCCCGACCTCCTGACCATCCATCCCTCTTCACGTAGGTTCCATTCGGTGTCACTCGTCTCAGCCCTTGACTCAACATGGCTACGCTCGAGTCGACTCGACACGACACGGCCTTGCGCGGCTTGCCCAGCCCGGCTCGACAGTGCAGCCGACCGCTCGGGCCTGCGCTGGTGCACAGACGGTGGCGGCGCGATCGATCGTACTCACCAACAGCTGACGAGGGGTTCACTGGAGTGAGCGGCGCGAACGAGCGCGAGCTGCTGCCGGCGTCACCTGCGCGAAGGATATATGCGTGGTTACTGGCCTGAGCAGAGTATATGGGGAGAGGGGTAGCAGAGGCGGGCTAATAGGCGGGTTCATAGTGTCACGTAGAAGAAATGTTAACTTGCGCCTGATGGAGCAGGGGAGGGAGGGATTAGATGAGGTCTCTGTTTCACCACAGTACCTGGCAAGATGCAATAGAGAGATAACCGCCCTTTAGTGTCACATTGGGGAGGGGTAAACGGCAAACTGACGAATTATTACCAGTCTGACCACAGTGACCACAGAACACAACGCACGAAGATTGATGAATTTGTTGGGTATTGCCGTTCGCACACCGTCGCTGAACTGACCACAGTGCATGAGATACAGCAATGTGAAGCTAATACCTACCGCCGCCAGTGTCAATTGCTGTTTGCTAGTATGTGCGAGTGTGCGTGGGCATGTATGTGTGTGTGTGTGGGGGGAGGTTAAAACACGATAACCAATCTGACAAGAGCTCGCGGTACTACGTCGATTTAATACCACACGAGGGCAATGCGACATATTATAGCCAAGGTCCTGGTATGCAGTAGTGGTATTGATGAGTTCGAGCTGGTCCATATCCATAAAACACTACACTGGGACACAGGCCACCCAGGCGGACAGAAACCTCGGCCATTCGCGGCGTGCCGCAACCACTTCACTGCCTGAACATTGAAGACCATCGCCGGAGCTGGCACTAATAACTATTTGCGGCTTACGCAAAACACACAGCATGCAGAACATTCTGATGGGCAAATGCCTTCTGAAATGAGCCCATCAGGCACTGACCAAGAAAACATCCGCAGTCACCACGCACCAATACAGCTATTCCATCTATGAAAACAAATCACGATCGTGCTTGATTGGCGGTCGGCGGACTCGGCCTCGTGCGCGGCGGACTGCCCGAGCAAGACAGCTGAGCCCCATAGCCCCCCCCCCCCCCCCTGACCTGCTCAGCCACTGCTGATCGCCACATAATGACGTATAATGCCGGATGAATGGACTAAGTCACCGAAGCACGGACAACCGCCGTGACGCACGCGGCAAATTATACGGCCGACAAGCGGCGGCACACGCCGGCAGCGACGAGCGACAAACGACGCCAGCTCCGCGCTCCTTACGGCCATCGGAGCGTGTTATTGGTCGCGATAGGCCCAATGAGGGTCACGGGGTAAGCCATGTTTGCGAGAATATCATGCTGTGATTGAGATCACGCTTTTGCAAGGTGGGTGTGCTCAACACATGGAAAATGTTCTTACAGAAAACGAACTCATCTGAAAATAATTAGCGACAAATATTCATGCTCGGACTTCGGAATGGCAGCTGACGCCGTGATGGTCCAATCAGAGGCGTCTTCTCAACGTTGCAAAAGATATCGAGCGTTTGGCAACTGGGTACTCAGCCCGCAGCCATATACCTCTCGATGCCGGTGAAACCTCGCTTTCGCAGAGCTTTCAAAACAGCAGTAATGGCAAATGTTATAATTGGGATACCCAAAACAGTTTCCTATTCAATGGCCACCTCAATAACTTAGTTGAGAAGGAAATGCTGAGTTCCTTTCCAGAGTTCCCCGCAAAGCAATCAACAGTCCTGCTGGAGACGGTTCCTCGCGAGTGATACTGAGCATCATCGTTGGGGTGTGTATTAATTTGTGAGGGCATTCGACGAACTTGAGCTAGCCTTCGATGATCCATAGGTAATGGATTATGAAACATTGTACATACATCACAAAGCATGGTGTTTTCGTCGGTCGTGATATCTATTATCTAGCACACCCGATAAAAACATCACTATGTTGACTGGTAACGTTTCGCCGAGATCACAACACGTCTCACTCACAGCCTCACGTTCAGTAGCCTATTCGAGTTCTCTATTACATTTGCAATTTGTTGGAAAAATGAAACAAAACAATACGTCCACCAGCACGGCTTCCGACAAGGGCTTCTTAGAGAAGCAGCAATAGGCTAGCCATTATACGCTAATGACTTCATTACTTAGCTAGCCTAAGCTTACTTATAAAAAGAGCAAATATAAAATGCTATAACCGAGAGCCACAAAATGCGTCCCTTGATAACGGGCTGATGGGAGCCGGGAGTGGTGGTAATACGAACGATGGTGTCGAGCCGAGACAGTTAAATCGACTGAGATAGGATGTTGTTGTTTTGGGTTAGGGCGCGTACTGAGATAGGAGCACACCACACTACCGCACGGAAAAGATGGTCTGTGTGGCGGCTACATGTGGGAAGCAGGTGACAATACCTTCGACTGATGTAGGGTCCTTATCGTAGCCGTGACGGTGGTAGAAGTTCATATGTCGATAACGTAGGGTATCCGTGGGCGTAACAGTACTTGTGGGCGTGACAATCAAACGATGGTTCCCGCGACAGATGTGTCACTACCTGTGACGATGTCTGTGACGGCGATACTATGTTCCCCGTGACGGTGACACAGCGCACCCGTGACGATAACACAGCACGTCCGTGACAGCAACACAGAGCACCCGTAACGGTAGCACAGCACCCCCGTGACGGTACCTGTGACGGTGATGAACGGAGCGGCCACCAGCGTGGTGGTGACCAGCGCGGGACTGTCGGCGCCGCTGCCGGCGCTGTCCGGTCGGCTCGGCTCGCTCTCCGTCTGCGCGCGCCGGCTCGATTTGACCACCGACACCGTCTGGGGAGCGGCAGCCGACGGTCAGACTGCGCACATGGTACACTGCTGGACAGGCATGCGGCGCAGCGGGAGCGGGCTGGGCATCTGAGCACAGACACTCTTCAAGTGTGCACTCTGAGATGAAGGTGTTGGCTTCAGGCTTGGAATTGAAAACATGATAGGATGGAATAAAAGTTGCGCTGAAGGAAACGCTCGCACGAAGCAAATAGCCAAATCAACAAATCACTTTATTGTATGCCATCCTATGGGTAAACCACTTAAGAATGCACGAATCATAAGCGTTAATCCTTCGGGTAGTCGCAAGGACGAAAACGACAATGGTTAGGTAAGCCGCCCGGTGCTCAAGCTTGCCAACTTCTAACGATCACCATTTAATTGTCATTGAATTATCAGCAAATAAGACCTGTCATTGGCCTACAAACAGAAAAAGCGCATTCATTAGCGAAGCCGTGGTGCGTCCAAGCGCAGTTAGCGATCGCAGGCTGCACGAGTCTTTGATGTCCAGCCATCCAATGCGTTACCGCGTATGGGTGACAAAGCGCAGCTAGCCGCTAGCGCAAGCACGGACAGTGACTCAAATGCCACAGAACATGGTAGCAGCGTGTGATAGGACGTGCAGTCTTATAGCTTTGTATCCAGAGCCCCAGGTTAGCAACAGGACATGGTATATGGATAAGCAAAATCATCACTCAGGCGGAGGCGGATTCGCTGCGCTCGAGCACCACCGGTTCGGCATAATTCTCCATCTATGGTCACGGGTGCAATTTTCCAATTCAGTGCGTCATGTTTACCTGTATGCCGAATGCCGATCTTTGAAAGTGTTTAGTACGACTTTCTTCCAAAGGAAGAGCAAACAAATTTCCTCCCATTGACTTATAATGGAGAGCCGAGAGATCGCAAAACTGACAAGACTTTAGGTAACCGACATCAAAATTCTATAATATACAAATTGTTGGTATTGATTACCTCATTGAATAACTCAAGCTTGAAAGTTCTAGAAGATACGCTTTAAGTCTAGGAATGACTGAATCACAATTTTTTAGAGGCATGGTCATTTAAGTTGACCAGGTGGCCTGACCTTCTGTGATCTGGGTAAAAAAATTCACACATGATGCGATTGATGCAAGATAAGCAATAGATAGTAACAATGTTGGAAATAAGACCTTCTTCTGGTCCCAATCGGGTCCAAAGTTTTGTTCTCCTCTACAAATGTATGCCCCGGCGCCTTGAATCTTCTAAGTTTTGCAGCTTGTGTGATGAAAAACTGCTATGATTGCACTAAAATATGCAGTAGTAGCATTGATTTCTTTTTTTTTTTTTTTTTTTTTGTTTATTGGGGCTTACGGGCGCGCCGACTACAAGGTCATTTTGCGCCCAAGTCCATTTAGCATTGAGAGTCTCAGATTTCATCACTTATCATCTGTAGTAGGCCAAACCTATGGTTTTGTGGTTGGTTTTTCTAAAACATGGCCTATTCTCCGGACCGATTTCATTCTCCGGGACCAGGACCGAAAACGACATTTCCAGCACTGGCTACCTACCATGTTTCCTTTACACAGGCAAAAACATAAAAAGTACCTAAATAAATAAACTAGCAGGTGGCCAAAAACGCCCCCCCTACCCCCCCTAAACGGAGGTTAGCAGGCAGCAGCCCTTTTTTTTGCAGCTGAGCTTCACCCAATGACGCCATATCCATACCACGCCCCTTAACCCTCGCATGTGTAGGGGGGGGGGGATCGGATGGACCCCCATGGTTTTTAGCGAATAACTCGCGCAAAAAGCGGCCGATCGCGACGAAACTTTCAGTACCCTCGACTTGATTAATTTTACACCTACTTTGAAAATTTCATGACCATAACCCAAATGACCTTTGACCTGTAACCTATTTCTCGAGGCCATGTTTGGCCGGAATCGCGATTCGGCGTATGTCGGCTCGCATTAGCCGCGCGTTTGCAAGCTTTTCGTGGTTTCAAACGTTCAAACATGTGATTTGATGTTGCTCGCATGCATTAGGGTGGATGTCATGGTCACTTGAAGGTCAGGTTAGGTCAGTGACCTTTGGTGACCTCGGCTCACTTTTTCGAGTTTTACATGTTTCTAGGCTAGTTTTTGGCGCTGAATTCGAATTTAGCAACCATTTGAACATTTACGAAATAGTTTTTGTGCCTTCTTAACATGTTACGAAGCTGTCAGAGGCGGTTGACACGTACTACGAAATCCCGTCACGACCCCTGCTAGTTGACCTGACCTGACCTGACCCGACCTGGTCTAAATGCTTAAAGACATCATCTGTAATAGAAACTAACACGATATATTCGTGATCAGCACCCCGAAAAACCCCATAGCAGTAACACTACGACTTTCTAACAGGTTCCGATTTTCCGACTTTTGGGTCATTGACCTGACCTGGAAGGCCAACCAATGACCTAGGACCTTAAATTTGGGCATCATCGTCTTCCTCTTGTTACGGGCAACACGCTCGTTTTTTTCCGCGAAGCTCTAGCTCGATCAAGGGCTAAACGGCAAGGGGGGTCCAACCGACCCCCTCCCCCCCTACCCGTTAGAAGCTGGCAAACGCCGCACACATGCGAGGTTAAAAGGTTCAGCAATGGAGTAGTGCCACCGTGGCAAAGCAAAATATGTCGACTGCGGTATATTTGGAACTGACGATGATTGTCGCTCAGTGCAAACAGCAGGTTGAAATTCATCAACCAACAAGAGTTTTATTATGTAAACCATAGTTTGTTTGGAGCTGGGGGCATAACTACCTAATGAGTAATGAATTAAAGACTACATGATAGACTACTCTATATCACTAGCCTAGAACAATGTGGGTAAATCAACATAATAAAACTATCAAATCATAAGTAACTTCATTTCGATGTAAGAAATTTGTAATGTTTACAATAAGCCATCATAATCAAGGCATCCCTGAGCAAAACACAACTGCACTTTGTCTTGCTCTAACATGCTTCTCAGTCAGGGCCAGCCACTAATGCTAAGCACAACAGGTGACAAACAGCTTACTATTCTGATAGGTGCCTAATATAACTGGTGCTTGCTTATCATTTATCAACCTACACTACCCCAAAATGGAGAAGTTAGAATGCACCTTACAGGAACAGTTCATAATCATACATTGAGCTGTACCTATGGCTATTTTTAATGATATGGCAAAGCATGGTGTCACTTGTGCAGTTGAATTGCTAATTGTGCAATTGTATATGCAACAACATAACAAATCATTTTAGCTGAAAGCATACTTGCCAGAAACAACCAAAGAATATGCTAAGAACAAATAAATGCAATATGAGATCCATTTCAACCAGGAGTGAAAAGCACAGTGATAAGCATCAAACAGTGACATCTCATGCAAAGGAGGAACAATGCTAGGGTTACCTTGACATGAGGAGATGAAGAGATACTGATTTGGTCAGAAGCAGTGGCAGTCTGCATTGTAAATCCAGTTAACTCAATATCATTTAGCCAGCCTTCACCATTTAACTGCAACAGGCAGCATAGTACAGGCCTGAATGGATATGGTATGGACAAGGTGAGTTGGTATGGAATGCCTATGGATGCATTTTTCCTCACATCTACAAATTCCTAAGCAAATCTGGTAGTGCTCGCAAAACATTAATAACCTTATTACATTGCTGATATGCAATATATTGTCTATGGCATTGGCCTACCTAGGTAAGTAAATATGATTCCAATTTCCAACCTATTAGGTAGCAAATGTATGAAAAATGGGACTTACTACCAATGGTTATGGACCACATTTCAATAAAATTGACATAAACTATTGGATATGGGACAATTCAATGTGGAACAATTTCACAAGCAAATTCACAATATCCAATATCTAATGGAAATGTTAAATCATAAGGACCCAGACATTGGTTTCAGTGATTTGAGATCATAAAACATAAAAACAGCATAATCATAAGGTATGTGTCATGTATGTACCTAATCCATGTGAATTGTGATATCCACTGTCCAGCACCCTGAAAACTGACCAGGGTATAGTGAAAAGATAGGCATAAGTAAGGAAAAACAGATGATGGTATTGTACACAACTCCCACTCCCCAAGTGAGGTGAGGAAATTCAAAATTATAATAAACTCTAGATAAATAAATACATTACACACAGGCAAGTGGCACTGCCATCTGCCATCAGAATCTGGTACTGAAAATCACAGTGCAGACAGAACAGTAGGTAGGGGTGTTTATCTTTGACAGTTTAAGACAACAACTTCCAAGCAGAACAAGTGCTCGCAAAACATTATAAATATGCATTCATACATCATAATTATTACCTGCCATGTAAATTTTGTATTCAAAACCCTGATAGTAGCCTATGCTCAATAGCTGGTTTAATAGGAAAATCTTTAGCCCCGGTAATGCCAGTCCCTTAGCAGCTGCTGCCTGAGGCCTGAATGTCTAATCTGCACAAAGTGACTGAACAAGGTAAAGACAAAAGTAAAATTTCTACCTTGATTTCTAACTTCACTTGTGACTTCACTCCCCCAAAATATTTGCCACTTGGGCTAGCAGTTGTAGTGGCTATTCCAATTTCCATGGTTTGGATTATAGTTTATACTCTGCAGTCTACACCCCATTGCTGAAAACTTATCCTTATTGCATGCAGAAAAGTTAATACAATTCAGCTTGCTAGCATGATTCAGAGCCAACCAAGCTGATAATGCTTCATTGCATACTTGGTGGTGAAACCAGTTAGCTCACAGGCCTTCACAGTTAAATTCAGCATGTAAGTGAGCATGGCTAAGCAGTGAACAGTGACCTTTGGTTTAGATGCAAAGAGCAATATTGATATTGATACAAACTTGTGGCAGTTTGAGATATCTTCACTGCAACTGGCTGACAGAGATAGGCAGGTATTGATAGGCATATCAGGAATCAGCTATATCCGCTTTTTACACCCTTAAAAATTGGAGAAATCAAAATTGACAAAATGAAAAGGAAAGAACACACCCTTCTTCACCACTTGAAAGAGACATCACACAGCAATACTTACAATACCTACTTTGTAAATTTTACAAATGTTATAAAAGCTTTGTACACAAAACATTTACATGCCGCACCACAACCAACCACAGAGCCAGGTAAGGTTACACTAGTTATGTTCGGTAACATTTGGTCGGCTTAGATTAGAAACTTTGGTTATTTCTGCTTGTAGTGCACCTGATTTTCTTGCATTAAATCATTGTATGAACTAGGTATTTTCTAAGCTGATATGACTTGTGACAAAATGGTGTGGATCATTTATTCAATTTTGGGCCTATAGGGTGGAAAGTGGTGATTTTGGCAGCATACCAATCATTTTATCAATTTGAATGGGGCATTACATGGTACACTAGCTAATCATGATCAATCAAATTCAAATTTGAAATGGGATGCAATGCATTTGTTGAATCACATGTCATCACGACAATATCGACGGATCCAGATGCAGGACAGTCCCCCAGCCCCATCCCAATCTCAATCTACTTCTGGCGTGGGGATCACACTCATCATTAAACGACAAGGGACACATTCATTCAGTTATTTACGAGGGTATTAGTGCATACCAATATACACGTGCTACCTCAAAACGACAAATTCACCAAGGCAACCGGCCCACGACCTCCCACCTCGTTTGTTGACAAATGAACGCTCGGTAGCTATGGAGATGGCTTCCGTTGCCAGGCGACGGTGAGATATTCGAAATATAAAAGAAAATTAAATAAATATTTTTCTTCAAATTTTTCAAGAAAATATAATAAAGATTATTGGAGAACAACTTTCTTTCAAAAGTAAGCGAAATTTGTAGAGCAATTGTAACTTAACGCTGAACTATTTTCCTTCAGTCAGGATTTTGTGCTCAGCCGCGTATGGTTTTATTTTCAGCCGCTAGATGGTGGAAAAATCAATACGTACGGTAATACAGATTCTCGAATCCATGTGCAACAAACACGGACGTATAAATAAACTGGACCCGCAACCACCTCCATTCAGGTGAAGCCGACAAGGCGCCATTTTACGTTGCCAAAAAGCCGTGCTCTGGAAGGTCATCGAGCCAATACAATTAGAATTGCGTCCAAACGGATGATCGGATCGAGATGCTGGTGGTACCGTTCGACGGGTAATTCCTTGAGGAAGGCGATGATGGATGTCACATGTCACCCGGTGTCACATGGCGCGTGCCACGTGCCGACAAACTTACAAAGGGTAAAAACGTTTAAAGGGACTATCCCACCTTTAACATGGGGTTTGAGTTGAGATAGCCAAGTTTGCGGCGAGGTTCCAAAACCACTATCTATCTAGGTTGCAACCCCCGCGGCCTCTTGGTGTTGAAGAAATTCGTTCCCTTCATTTGAAAATGGGCCTTGTACAGTCTGTCTTAAAAGTACCGCGCAAAGTGACGGTGGATCCATCAAGCCTGACCGATGAAGGACTGCCAAATTTGAGTCACCGAAGCAATGGACATCCTCGTCCATTCCCCAGCTCCATTGGTTCGGTGACTTTCAAATTATAGCAGGCCCTTCCTCGGTCAGGCTTGATGGATCCACCGTCACTTTGCGCGGTACTTTTAAGACAGACTGTACAAGGCCCTATCTTCAACATGGAGCGACCGTTAGGTGACGTCACCTCGTTTAGTCATTCTGATTTAAATGGGTTTGTTCGTTGAAAAATCACTTAAAACTTGGTCTGAACTTTGTTGCGGTGCCTACAGAGCAAAAAGAATCAGCTTTATGACAGTAATGTGGCCTGGGGAAGGAGGTAATTTTGGGCTGTGACGTCACATATTTGAAAGTTTGTGTTTGGAATACGGGAAGCCTAAGATGTTTAATGAAAAATAAATGCCAGAACCGTGTTCCTGGTCATCCAATCTATAAAGTCGGGCACAATTTAACTGGTTTTAACAACATTTTAGAAGGTGGGATAGTCCCTTTTTAAGCGACGCTTCAAATCAAACGAAGGGCGGCACAGGTGCCAAACTCACAGGTCACATGTCCCAGTGTTCGACCACTAACATATGGTATGCTCGGCATCAGGGGGTGCGGAATGCACGCGCTAGTGGCCAAAAACATGTTTTGAGGAGGCATCCTCCGATTCCGGAAAACCTTGACCTAGGCACACCAAATTTGGCACACTGACACTACTGGACACGCGCTTTAAGGTGCTGTACAAATAGGCGTGCTGGGGTACACGGTGACATATGCGGGTAGGGCTGGCAAGCTCAAAGTGCCAAATATACACAGGCCACCCAGAATGCATTCCAGCATAGTTATTGAGCATATCCATCTCCTGGTGGCCCCCAAAGGTGCGCTCTGCACGTGCAAAAAATTATCCGCGCCGAGCGGTGGGGATGCTTGGACACCCTATGTGGATTTATGTAAATATCTCGAAAACGGCGATGTGTAGCGCCGCCGTTTTTGGCACACCTTTTCATACATCTTTTTCACACATGCTGCGTAACTTTCAGACTTAGGTCATTCAAGGTTAGGTCATCAGGTTACGTCCAAGTGACTTTCTTTCTTTCTTTTGTTGGTTAGGTGCTTCGGTCTTTTAGACCATTTCGCACCGGTGTGTTAACGAAGTCGAATTAAATAAACTGAATGAAGAAACTAGTGAACCTACAGACGATGAAGAAGATCCGTTTTAAGGAGAAAAGAGAAGAGAAGTTGTATTAATGCAGGATGATCATCACCAAGAACGATGGGTAGATTCATTTGTACATCATGTGCCCGGCAGTAGTCATTTATTGGTTTACGATGTATATGATATTTACGACAATGTACTATAATGTGTTCGATTGTAAGAGGAGACCTACAAGAAGGACAAGTAGGCCTTGGCTGTCGATTGAATATGTGAGAATGAGTTAAGTAAGTATGTCCGATTCGTAGTCTTGCCAAAACCTTTTCTTCTCTCCTGGATTTTCGACTTGATGATGACCAATGTTGTATATACGGTTTAATACGATGAAGGTGTGTGCCAATACCATCGGTGTCCCAACTGTTTTGCCAGAAATGGTAACAATGTTGTTTTATGGAGGCTCGAATATTGCTGGAGGTATAAGGGATCGCGGTGATGTCTTGAATCGCTAGGGCTTGCTTGGCGTATTGTTCTGCTTTTTCGTTGCCATATATGCCGCTATGCCCAGGTATCCACAAAAACTGTATTTTAACTCCGTTGTCGATAAGTTGTTGGTGCAAAGTAAGTATGTTTAAACAAATATGTTGCGTGGTATCAGGTTGCAAAAGGCCTAAAACTGCTGATTTGGAATCGGAACATATGCATGCCATTTGAATGTGGTGATGGCGAATAAGTTTGAGAGCGAGGAAAATTGCGTGTAGCTCAGCAGAGTAGACAGAAATATCATTTTGTACCCTTACAAGTGTTTGTGGATATTCTGGAGCGAATATACCGATGCCGACCGTGTTGTTTTGTTTTGAGGCATCTGTGTAAACAAAATGGAAAAGAGCATTGGACGCCTGAAAACTAAGAAAAGCTTGCTTCACTTCGCCGTGAGAGAGAGAATCCTTACGAGCCGTAAACAAAAAGGACACCGAAAGTGGATGAGCCGTCCAAGGCGATACGGCACAATGCGGTAGTGGTGGGACATTTGGTAACTCGTATCCTAAATCAGTTTGATATTTTCTTGTTCGTGAGGCCAATGTAAGCCCGGTCCGTCTCTCGCATCGACCGAGGTAACTGAAATGCAGCCGAGGAAGAACGGATATAGCTGTGTGAGCTGCGTGTGACGGATATTGTTTAATTTTTGAGTAGTATCAGGGCGTATTTTAACATGTTAACTGGGTCGGCAATTGCCGACCCAGTCACGGAGAATGCCGACCCAGTGACAGCCGTTTGCCGACCCAGTTGCCGCCCCCTCTAGGATGCAGCACGCACATGCAGGCTAGGTGCCGTCATTCATAGTGAGGCTGCTGCCCTCCGAAATGATAATGCCGCCTCTTAAAGTGAAGCAGCCGTCTATAGAAAGTGATGATCCCGCAACTCAATGTGACAGTGCCGCCCCTAAATCTGTTAGTAGCCCCACTCAATGTACCTAATGGTGCCGCCCTTCTAAACATCTGTGGAGCCCCGCAATGTGATGATACCGCCCCTCAAGAAGATGATGCCGCCCCTTTCAGTATCGGTGGCGCCCCTCAATGTGCTGGTGCCGCCCTCAAAGTGCCGGTGGCGCCCCTGAATGTCATGGTGCTGCCCGCCAACGAGTCGGTGGCACCCCTCAAAATGATGCTGCCGCCCCTTAAAGTGTTAGTGCCGCCCCTCATAGTGTCAGTGACGCTCTTCGGAGTGTCAGAGGAACCCACCAATATAATGGTGCCGCCCCTCTAGGTATCCACATCGCCCCTCATTGTGATGGAGCTGCCCCTCAAGCAGATGATGCCGCCCCCAAGAAGATGATGCCGCCCCTTTCAGCATCGGTGGCGCCCCTCAGTGTGATGGTGCCTCCCTCAAAGTGCCAGTGACGCCCCTAAATGTGATGGTGTCCATGGGTGGAGAATGTTTGAAAAAGTTACCCCGGCCGGCGACCAATAGTCGGAAAGACGATATGCTTACATTGTTGTCAACGGTCATCATAAGCAAACCCCTTACGCAGCCTTCTTCAATGTTGGGCAGCTCAACCTCCTATAAAACAAACAGGGAGTCGATCCAGGAATATCGACCGGTCCCGGTCTCGCAGCTCAGTCGGTAGAGCGTTGGACTTCGCGTGGCAAGAGTACGCGTCCCGGATACAACAGTCCGATTTCGAAGCGTGCAACGGACGCTCGGTGTTTATGAGCATCCTGACGAGTACCTACGCTATTATAAACAGGTATGGTTGCGGTCTTTGGCACTGGCAGGCCAGTCGAAGGCAGCGAGGTCAAGCATTGTTTCAGAAAAAGTGCGCCGAAAACGCGCCAAATTTTCGAAACTGAACCCGATTTGAGAGCAGTCTTGGCATTGGCGACCACACGCGGGTCCTGGGGTTGGAGATTATGGTATGTTAAGCAAATAGTTAGTTACCTTATTTGCAATAGGTATTACGTCCACGGCCCATGGTAGTGAACATTTGAAGAACGAGTTTTCTTTTCTCGTTTGGAGACAGCTTCTAGGATTTACAAGAGTGGAAAAGTTACCCCGGCCGCGCCGGGGTAGGCTGAAAGTTACCCCGGCCACGGCCGGGGTGGCCGGGGCAGGTTCTCCACCCATGATGGTGTCTCCTGTCAACGAGTCGGTGGCGGCCTTCAAAATGATGCTGCCGCCCCTAAAAGTGCTGGTGCCGCCCCTTACAGTGTCAGTGGCGCCCTTCAAAGTTTTGGAGGAACTCATCAATACAATGTTGCCGCCCTCTAACTTTCTGTAGCGTCCCTCCATATACATAATGGTGCCGCTTCTCAAACCATCCGTGGCGCCCCTCAAAGTGATGGTGCCGCCCCTTACAGTGTCGGTGGTGTCTCCTCAAAAGTCAAGGTGCCGCCTCTCAAAGAAATGCTGGTGTCCCTCGAAGTGTCGGAGGCGCTCCTCAATGTCATGTTGCCGCCCCTCAAACCTTCCGTAACGCCCCTCAACGTCATGGTGCCGCCCCCCCCCCCCCCAATGTGCTCACGGCGCCCTTAAATGTCATAGAAGCGCCGGTCAAAGTGATGACTGTGCTCCTGGCAGTGTCGGTGGCGCCCCTTATAGTGTCGGTGGCGCCCCGAACAGTATCGGTGGTGCCCCTCAAAGTGATGATGTCAACCTCAAACAAACGGTGGCGCCCTT